AAAAAGTATTTGTCTAAGTTTTGTTGACAAGGTAATAAAGGTGACATGTTTGCCATTGAAGTGTTCTTTGCCGTTATTCCGTCATAACGAATGCATTTAGACTCGTGTTTATTTGTGACCCCTATTCCAAGTTGTTTTGAAGTTTAAGCTACCTACCGCTATGGAATACGATGATGAGCAAATCCAGCTTGCGCACTATATATTTTTAGCCAATCTGCTACCTGACGAAGTATTGGTCAAAACCTCAAACAACTCTTGTACCAGGAAGTCATTGTGGTCCTTAAGCCCTCGCTCATTCGTAGATGCTGAAGTAATCAACGAAACTCCAAAATTTTGTTTTGTTTGTCCACTATCAATTTTGTTTTGTTCCGATGAGAGATAATGTCCATTGGTACTTGGCTGTCATTAAGTTGGACAAGGAAGAAGTCCATATCTTGGATCCACAACCAAATGAAGACCGCAATTCCTTTCGACTACAATCTGTTAAAACAATGGTAAATTTGTGACATTGTGCCGTTATAACGCAAAAAAAAAATGTAAATACCTCTTTCTAAGTACAAACGTTTCTTAATTTGTACATATGATATTTATGCAAGCCTTATGGAAGATTCTCTATCGTGAACAAGGTCCGGGATTGTCGCCACCAAGGATTGCGGAGTTTTCGTACACAAATCCTTCAAAGGATCAAGAACAACTTCATCGGTAAGTATGCCCATTTTTTTGTGATATTAAACGACGAATTATCAACTTGGTTCTTATCATGCAATGCTTTTATTTTATGTAGGTCTGATAGTGGAGTCTGGGTATGCATGTGGATGTATAGCGCAAGCTGGGACTCCTCTTATATTTGGGTAAAGACAATTCTAGTTCGCATATTAGAAAACCACACTTGATTGTTATTTTTGAATCATGCGTTAAGCACCATGTTTGTTGATGTTGATAGCCATGCACTCAAGTGAGGAGGATGCAGATCGCTTTGTACCTTGTTCGAGAGCCCATGAACTACATAAGGCATATGGTGCTCACGGAAGCAAGAACAGTTGCACCTCAAGTTGAAGCGGCAGTGGAAGAGTACAAGAAAGCCCATGAAAGGAGGAAAAAGGAAAGAGAAGAGCACAAGGAAACCCAGTCAACGAGCCCAAGGACAACCTGATTTTGCGTTTTAGTTTTCAAGATGATGGACAACTGTTATGTTTTTTTTTTCTCAGGATGATGGACAACCGTTTTTGGTTTGGTTTGGTGAATGCTTTTTATATTTGATTTTTGGTTTGGTTTGGTTTGGTGAATGCTTTTTATATTTGGTTTTTGGTTTGGTTTGGTGAATGCTTTTTATATTTGGTTTTTGGTTTGGTTTGGTGAATGCTTTCTATATTTGGTTTTTGGTATTGTGAATGCTTTCTATATTTGGTTTTTGGTTTGGTTTGGTTAATTGGTTTGGTTTGGTTTGTTTTTTCGTGGAAATGGCAAAGGGACTTCACCAAAATTCCAACTTCCAACTTGTAAGTGAGGTTGCTTCTATCAAGCCATTGTATCTTGTAGAGAGGTTTAATTGGGATCATATCATTCCACTTCGTTCCCAATTTCCCTCGTCTAATTAAATTTGCATTCATGTATAGTTAACCCAAAAGGTAAAACTGATTGGCTCCCAATCAGTATAATTAATGACCAAACCCCGTACAAGGCAGATAGAAAATTCTTATGTAATTAATTTAATGTTCATAGGATATGGAAAGGCTTCCATTCCTTGAATTTCCACCAACGATGTTTTCACTCCCCTTTTAGTGAGAGAATTCATTGTAGTAATAAATATAATAAAAAGGCATACATAATTAATGGATTCTTTATTGTGTATAATTAAAAGGGTATTTTACTATAAACGAAGCATGATAGATTCACCAGGGGAATAAAAGAAGTATGAGTCTTGATGAAAAAGGGGAAAAAATCACCATAGATAAAAAATCATTATAATCAAGCCATATCCATACTATTCACGCCTATCATCGTCACTATACTTGTGACCAAATATAAATAAAACCATAATTTTCGAAAACCATTAAAAATGAAGATGAAATAAGTAACACATTCTTCGACCTAATTGGAACTGCTTAGAACAAAAGCGGATTAAAATCTCCTCCAATGAAATTCATTTGCAATTTCATAGGTAGTCCCTACTTCCACTTCTATAATTTTGAGAAAACATTGCAATTTCATCAATAGTTCCCACTCGTGGGCCAATTTCAATTGCAAGCAAATTTGCACCCTTGCAATAGCTTCTCACATCATAGCAAGTGTAGGATGCAATTGCACCTCCTTGCCATATCATCTTGCAAGTCACAAAAATTGCACCATTGGAGATGACCATTACTGCATCTCGTCACCTGTCTTAGGGAACTTAGCCATGGCAAATTCACAAAATACTGCATGCATAGAAAAATATTGGTCTGGACAATTAAAAAAATGGGAGACTTTCCTAGTCAGATGATGTACTGGCTCCCCTCAGTACCTGACAGTTTTGAGTGCTGGAGAATTAAGGAAAAGACAAAATACTGGAAAAAAAACCAACAAAGCCTTAGTAAATTTCTTAACAGAAGACATCCATTGCTGGCCCCTTTGCTGCTCCAACGCTCCACCCCGCCCTGCATCAATCGACTCTCATGTAAGCCGAGGACGTTTGCTTGAGGATGCCTTAGGGGTCTCTTCATGCTCCGTATGGCGAAGGTCAATAAAAGTATTGGTCAATTCGACTATACGGTACACTGGCAAATAAGCGCACTGGTCCTCCTTAACATAAACCCCCATATCCATCCCAACCCTTTCAAGAAAGGTGGTCACGAAGGTAGCATATGGAAAGGCAGTGTACCAGTTTTCCCCTCTAGGAGCATGAGTGATGCGAGGTTAACAGGAACACCTCTTTGAACTTGCACAAGGATAAACAGGTCAAGTTTACGAATAATCGAATGACCACGGTACCTTGGCATGAAGCAATTGACGATCATCCAGTGGAGGAATCAAAGAGGATCTGGGAGGAAAGAAGTCTGGATGCGCCCCTTTGTCAGTTTCGCCAGTTCAACTTCAAACTCAAAATCGTACAGCCGCCCAAGATCGCTTCTGCTATCAATGGGGTGTCCTTCGGCGGGGAGATTGAGGATCTCAACAAACTGATGAGGCTGGAAGCAGACTCTATGTCCCAGGAAGATCGACACGAGATGAGAATCACAGGGAGCAGAAAGCTCTAAATTGTGGGAGAACTTCCTCACCACATGCGGGCAGTAACTATTGCTTCCTCGACTCTGGAGATCAAAGAACTTTTCCCAGCCAAGATTTTTTATTAACTTCTTCACTTCTTGAGGGAAAGGACTTAGGTGGATGAACTCATACTCGGCAACAATTGCTGTTTTGCTTGTAAATGAAAGATAGTCACCGAGACTTGCGGTGGATCGACAGTCTTCATTTAATAGAGATAGTATCCCCATTTCCGCAAACGATTTACCTTTGTTTTCCATGGAGTCTGGAGGAAGAAGGAACAAGGGAAGGTGAAGATGGAGGAAAGAGAGAATGTAGGTTGAAGAAAAAGTGATCGTGGGGGTTGAGTGTGGAGACGGTTGAGTCTGGAATGTCAAGAGTTAGAAGATTTCGGAAGATATGTAGTAATGATGATGGTAACTCGTGTAGGTTAAACTAGGGTAAGTAAAGCTTGTTAAACTAGGGTTGGCGCACGAATTGATACGGCAGGAGAAAACAAATGGGCTCGCACGTTCCAGGCCCACTTTTGAATATTGCATGGATCATGTACAAGCCCACGTTTGAATGTTATTTAAAAGCCTGCAAAAATCAATGATCAGACCCAGTCCAACTAGAATTACTCCTAAACGCACCGTTAATACATAAACACAAATTAAGGAGACCTCTCCATCCGATTCAAATCAAATTATGTGTTCTTCATCTTCTTCCTCTATCCTCTGGGCGAGACGAACACTACATATCAGGAAACCTAAATTTCACTGAGAGATATAAGGTTCGAGAAAATCACAATAACGCTAAGACAAGATGACAAAGCATTAGCGACATGAACCCTAGGGTTAGCAAACCTCTTTCAAGGGTTCTTTTGCAAATGAAAAGTTTGATGAACACAATAATAGACATGGTCGCCGTAATCGTGTTAGAAAGAGATAGGCGAGGGGAAATAAAATGGCGAAGAAGAAACAAGACAAAATAAATTGGGAAATTCAATCTACGTCGAATGTGGATGCAAGTAATTGGGATTCAAAAAGATGATTAAGTTGGGGAGTTCAAATTGGATGGGGAGCTTCTCTTGGAACTGTGAAGGGGCGTCCCTCCAAGACGAGAGAGGGATCATGTAATTGCTTAGGGAGACTGGAAATTGGTTAGGGCGGCAGTGGGTCTACCCAATTGAGTTTGCAGTCTTAATCCATTTAATTTAATCGGGCAGTTAGTTGGACTAGGATGAAAACAAACTTAACGCGGCAGGAGCCTTTTTGTAATTTGTTTAGTTATTTAGTGGCGCAGGAAGGTTTAACAAACGTGAGCCGTGGAGATTGAAAACGAATGGTTAAGATCGGCCAAGGTACCCGTACCCGGATTTTGCCCTGGGTACCGTAGAAGTCACCATATATATATATATATATATATTCGGATATCTCATAATAATTGTTGAAAATCTTTAAAATGATGATCAGATATTTTGTTATGATGGGGATTGGCCGATTTGTTTTCTTTGTCATGCATATAAATGTCGTAAAAGAAGTTTGATTTCGTTATAATCAAATGAAAATATAGTTATTTGTGATACTTATAAATGTTAGAATATACAAATTCTTTATTGCAAGAAATGTCACAAAAACGTGTCACCAACGTTTGTTACAAGTGTTGCAAAAGACCGAAACGTCATAAGATAAAACAACAATTGAGTGATGTTGAAAACGTCGGTGAAAGTCTATTGTGACATTTTTTTTTTACTTTTTGTGACAAATGACAAACGACAAAATAAATAATTTTTGTTGTAGCGCAACTGCTTCCTATCCTTACTGGTTCTTCTTCGAACCCCACCGATCGAGACCTCTGATTTCAAGATCATTGAAGACTAGCCAGGGTGCTGGAAATGCGCCAGTTATTTCTCAGCTTACCGCGTCTATTAATCCTCCAACAGCACTCACCCTTCATCGATTTAGTAATGTCAGTGCGGCCGATATGTAGGCTCACATCCCTACTACTCATGCTCAAGTGGATACCTCTCGCCAATTTCAGACTTAGCTCAGCCAACTCTTCTTGTTCATGATATTGAGCTCAGGATCCCTCAGCACCGCCTTGATATCTTCGTCATATTCGATCGTGGTACTCAAGCTCGTCGTCGGATACAAAATAACCATGATCAAAACCTAACTCATAGTCCTCGCGGCTCGGCTTCTTCCACCTTCGAGCCAATAGCGGCAGCTTCCAGCTCTGACGATTATCGACCTGCTGCAGGCAGGATTGGTGGTTTTGGGACTGCTGAGCGATGTTCGTGCTGCCATTGCCGCCTGCCGCTGCCGCTGCATTCATCAGCTGAGGTCCAATATTGAGATGCAGCAGCCGGCCGTGGGAAGATTTCTGGAATAGCATCAGCTTGGAGGCCATTTGCGCAGCGTTGTACCGTACGTGTTTCGGTGGGAGGCGAATTAATGGAAGGGTACTCTCGAATTAATTGCATCCATCTGAACAGAATGCGACCTCTTAATTGCTACTCTCGACTGAGTACTACCTCAGTTGAAGTCGTGACTCGTGACTGAATGGGCTCGCTCCCGTCTCATGCAATTCTTGATGAAGCTTCGCCTAGAGTTTGAATCTGTTCGCACCACCCTCATTCATCACAACGTCACTACCATCGATGTCGTTGTTACTAAACTAGTTTGTAGAACTTTGCAACGCGGAATGAAAACAAACACGAACAACACGAGATTTTACGTGGTATTCCCGTTTTATATATGGCATGTTGCTTGTTGAAGGCCATTGTACACTGACCAAGATACTCACTATAAACACCATTCGATAACCCTTCAAACCCTTAGACAACATACACTATGTACCAAACCATCTAACTGCTCATTTACACGGATGGATGTGGGCATAGAGTTTCCAAAGCCCTAGTAAGTTTAAAGTCATGGTGTCGTGGCAGGTGCCTAAGAATGTGAAAGAACTACATGGGTTTCTGGGATCAACTGATTATTGCAATAAGTTTTTGAAGAACTATGAGCCATTAGCATTCCTTTGACTGAGTTGCTTAATAAGGTTGGTTTTGTCTTGTTTCCATTACTCAGAGAACATTTGAATTTCTCATAATGACTATGGTGCAAGCATTTGTACCGGCCATACCTGATTCCACCCTACCCTTTTAACTTGAGACTGATGCTAGTAATGTCGGAGTTAGAGTTTTAATATATCAGGAGGGAATACCAATTTCTTATCACAACTAAACTCTAGTTATCGGCAAAAAGGCTCATTTGCCTATGAGAAAGAGTACATAGCAGTATAGCTAGCAGTGACTTTGTGGAGACATTCATTAGAGGGTAGACCATTAATCATTCTCGCTGATTATGAAAGTCTTAAAAATTTGTTTGGATAGAAAATCACACACATATTCAGAAGATAGGCTTAGTTAAGTTGTTGGGCCTAGACTTTGATATTAGTTATAAACAAGGCAAGTTCACAAGAGTTGTTGATTTCTTGTCTAGGCATCCACACTTTCAGGGTGTTGGGGTATGCAATGCAAAGCTATTACTGTTGTTTTACCAACATGGTAGGTTAAAATTGATGCAGACATATGTTGGAAATCTAGAGGTGCATGTAGGGCTGGCCATTTGCTTTTCAGTTAAGCAGTTAACCGTCAATTATAACTGATCGATTTCGGTTCGGAAAATTGAAAACCAAATGGCTGTCTTGGTCGGTTGGTGTTCGGGAGGGAGAAGTGTGGAAACTATTAACTGTGTTGCTGGAGATCCCCTAAATCGCAAAACCACAAATAGAAAAAAACCCCTAATATCCACCCCCTTCGACACAGCTGCACCTCTATCCACCACTCCACCTGTGAAGATGATGCATCCTAGGCAACATCTCTGGAGATGAATTCCTAATGAAGAAGGAAGCCTTGGTGCTCTGTGTGCGAATCTGTAGAGTATCTGAAGAGAGAGTTGACTACCGGTTTAAGCTTCCTTTCACTTAGACCCGGTTCACTAGCGGCTGACTCGGACACGTCAACGGATGACACAAGCGGTATCAATAACCCGCAGTGGAAAAAGCTGACGTTTAGCTCAGTATAATTAGTTATATAGTGATTAAGTCTCTTTTCGCCACTTGGCATTCTGTAGTTGGTAGTTTTATCTGATAGTTAGAGTTTACCATTGCTTTGTACAGTGTAATCGGAAACCAGAGATATATAGAAGTGAGCAAACCAGAAAAAGGCATTCTGCCAATTTCCCCAATCATGGCATTCGTTTCTTCTTCCCGTTTTCTCTAACACCCTAGCTCATATCTGCTCTAGGTTTATAAGTTTCACATTGTATCAGAGCCTGGTTCACCCAGTTGCTTCTGAATCTGTGCTATTTTCTCTTCATCTCAAACTTCCTTACCTATTTATACTTTGATTCTTCACGATGGGAGACACATCTGAACCTGGATCTGGGACTGCATAAAAGGGCAAAGAAACTGCTCTTCCACGCTATGAAGATCCATACAGCAACCCTTTCTATTTGGCACAGAGTGACAACTCCTTCCTACCCGTCATCGGGTTCAAGCTTAATGATGAAAACTACCTCCTCTGGAGCGAGTCTATGGAAGTTGCTCTTCGCACCAAGAACAAGCTTGGGTTTGTCCTCGGCACTATTCAGGTACCAGATATCACAGATCCTTCATATGGTACTTGGGATAGAGTGAATGGTACTGTTGTTTGCTGGATCCGAAATTTGGTTTCTGATGATATAGTACCCAGCCTTAGAAACATTAGGGTTGCGTCTGAGGCCTGGACATTCCTCAAATCTAAGTTCAGTCAAGGCGATTCTGTTAGGATTGCAAACTTGCAGGATAAAATCGACATAACTAAGCAAGGAAACCTAACAATCAGGCAATACTACACGGATTTGAAGGTCCTATGGGATGAACAAGACAGTTATCTCCCTATCCCATTTTATGACTGTGCATCCAGAACTTATGAAACAGTTATTGGGTATAAGGAGAAGGGTAAAGTAATCAAGTTCTTGCTTGGGCTTAATGAGAAATACCAGCAAGTAAAGACACAAATGCTGATGTTGGAACCACTTCCTGATCTAGGCAGCATTTATCGATCAGTGGTCCAACTTGAAAGGCAATTGAATGGAGCAAGTACCAATACTGGAAAGTCAGAAGAGACAATTGCCTTAGCAGCTGTCCTTGTTGCATCTAGACCCCAGTCTGGACAGTTTAAGGATAAGGGTCACAAAGATAATCAACAGGAAGGGGGTTTGTTCTGCAGATATTGCAAGAAGGATAACCATGTTATCCAAGATTGCTGGAAACTCAAGAAGAAAAACAAAGAAGGAGGAGGCAGGAGTTTTGCAGGGTCAGTTGACATCAATGCTGCAGAGAAGCGGAATTCAGGAGGAGCTTTTCCTATTCTCCAACGAGCCCTGGAAGTCATTCAGAGTCTCCAACCTCTTTCTCAGGGTTCACAACTGATGAACTGAACCGTTTGAAGGCACTTCTTCAGTCACCACAGCAGCCAGCCTCTCCATCTTCTCATGCCAACTCCATTCTGTGAAAGAACACTGTTGTGTCAGGTATCACCATCCTTTCTACCTTCACTGAAAACAACAATGAGCATGTCTGGGTCCTTGATACTGGGGCAAGTGACCACATTATTTGTTCTATGCATTTTTACCTTCGATGCAAGGCAATTAAGAACTTGTCTGTGACATTACCAAATGGTCAGTCAGCAGTAGCAACTCATATTGGTATCGTTAAGCTAGAGTGTGGCTTGTTTCTTACCAATGTTCTTTTAGTACCTTCCTTCAGTTATAACCTCATCTCCATTAGTCAACTCACCAAAAACAGCCCTGTCTCACTATTGTTTGAATCCAACTTCTGTTACATCCAGGACCTCATATCTCAACAGAAGATTGGTTTAGTCCACGTAGATAGAGGCTTGTACCTTCTTGGAGAAGCTAAAGTCCCTGGAGAGAATTGCAACCACAGAGTTTTTGGAGTGAACACCACAAGCAAGTCAGAGATTTGGCATTCCAGATTAGGCCATTTACCAATTTCCAGATTACAAGAAGTTAGGAAAGTTTGTAATGATGTCACAGTACCTTTGAATATTGAGTGTGAGATATGCCATTTAGCCAAACAAAAGCGACTGCCTTTTGATAGAAGTGATTCCAAAGCTAAGAATGTTTTTGATGTTGTCCATGTTGACATTTGGGGACCAGTTGATGTCATGTCGCATGATGGTTTTAAGTATTTCTTAACTATACTTGATGATTTTAGTAGATGTACCTGGCTATATCTAATGAGCAGTAAAGCAGCAGCTAGAAACTTGTTACAGTCATTTCATGCTATGGTTCTCAATCAGTTTAATAGAAAAATCAAGATCATAAGATCTGATCAGGGCCAAGAGTTCAACATGCCAGCTTTCTATCAACAGCATGGCATAGTGCATGAAATGAGTTGTGTTAAAACAGCACAGCAGAATGGCAGGGTTGAACGGAAGCACCAACATTTACTGAATGTGGCTCGTGCTTTAAAATTCCAATCTGGAGTTCCTACAAGTTTCTGGAGTCATCTGGTCCTTCATGCTGCTTATCTGATAAACAGAACTCCCACCCCTGTTCTGGAAAACAAGAGTCCCTTTGAAATGCTTTATAACATCCCACCAGATTATTCCAATCTTAAGGTATTTGACTGTCTTGCATATGCCACAGTGTTGGATGAACATACACCAAAATTTGCAGCACGAGCTCGCAAAGTTGTGTTCCTTGGATATACCTTTGGTGTCAAGGGGTATAAGTTATATGATCTGGAAACCAATACAGTCTTCACAAGTAGAGATGTTGTTTTTGCAGAAGATGTTTTCCCATTTCATATTGCTGCGAGTAGCTTCACTTGTAGTCCCAATATTGATCCTCCTTCTACCTCATTACTCCAAGACACTTTCCTACCTGTTCCACCTCCTAATCATAACATCCATGAGACAAATGATCAGGATTATACACCATCTGATACTGACTCATATGAGTCTTTCCTCTCTCCCACTCCTTCCCCACATCCTTCCTCTTCTACACAACCTTCCTCCTCTCACTCCCCTTCACCACCAACCCCTCCCATTCCTCTTAGGAGGTCCAACAGAATCCCACAACAACCTGTCAAACTTAAAGATTATCACACCTCATTCTTAGCCAGTTCTTCTTTTGGCAAGTCTGAGTCTCCCTTTTACCCACTTTCACACTTCCTGGACTATTCCACTCTTTCTCCTTCTCATCAACACTTCATTTTGTCCCTTTCTTCTTCTTTTGAACCACAAAGCTATTCTCAAGCTATTACTGATGAAGAATGGAACAAAGCTGTAATAGCAGAACTGGGAGCATTAGATACTAATCAAACCTGGGAGATAGTTGATATGCCACAAGGAAAACGAGTCATTGGTAACAAGTGGCTCTTTAAAACCAAGTTCCTTTCAGATGGGGCCATTGACCAGCGCAAGGCCAGATTAGTTGCAAAGGTGTACACTCAGAAGTATGGTGAGGATTTCCTTCACACTTTCAGTCCTGTTGCCAAGTTGAATTCTGTTAAACTTCTTCTTGTTGTGGCTGCCATAAAAGGCTGGTATCTCCATCAAATGGATGTCAGTAACGCTTTCTTGCATGGTGACTTAGAGTAGGAGGTATACATGGAGTTACCTGAAGGCTTGAGAGAACTCAGTCACATGCAAGGGAAGGTATGTAAGTTAAAGAAATCCCTCTATGGGCTCAAACAAGCAAGCCGCTAATGGTTCATTAAGTTATCAGAATTTTTGACACAACAACGTGGTTTCAAGCAGTCTTATGAAGATTATTCAGTCTTCAGTTCTTTGTCAGTTATGCTAATTGTGTACGTTGATGACATTATGCTTGCTGGTCCAAATCTGGAAGACATCAACCATGTCAAAGCACAGCTAAAGAAAGGCTTTAAGATCAAAGACTTGGGAAATATGAAGTACTTTCTAGGCCTGGAGGTGGCACGAACACCAGAAGGGATATCTTTGAATCAAAGGAAGTTTTGTCTTGAACTTCTAGCTGATGCAGGTTTTCTAGACTGCAAACCAGCAAAAACGCCATTGGGAATGAAGACAGTGTACTCTGCTACAGATGGTGATCTTCTTGAAGATGTTACCAATTTCAGGCATGTTCTAGGACAGCTGCAATATCTAACATCTACTAGACCTGACATAACATTTCCAGTACAACAGCTTAGTCAATTTCAAGCAAGTCCCGCATCTGCTCATTTGGAAGGATTGCATCGCATCTTGAGATATCTGAAAAGTACACCAAGTCAAGGACTGTTATTCTCTTGTAAGTCAACATTGAGCTTGAGAGGCTACTGTGATTCAGATTGGGAAACTTGCCCTGATTCCAGGAAATCTGTGACAGGATATTGCACCTTCTTGGGAGACTCGTTATTTATATGGAAGAGTAAGAAACAAAAAACAGTATCTCGATCTTCTTCAGAAGCAGAGTACAGAGCATTGGCACAACTGTCTTGTGAGGTACAATGGCTTAAATCCCTTCTTGGCTTCTTTGGAGTTCAGCATTCACAACCAGTGTTAGTGTTTTGTGATAATCAATCTGCGATACATATAGCAGAGAACCCAGTCTTTCTCGAACGCACTAAACATATTGAAGTGGATTGTCATGTGGTTCGTGAGAGACTGAAATCAGGACTTCTTAATTTATTCCACATCGGTACTGAAGAACAAATTGCAGACCTTTTCACAAAGGGATTATCTGTGGATCGATTCAACTATATGATGTCCAAGTTGGCAGTGCACAACATGTGTTTTCCAACTTGAGGGAAGGTGTGAAGATGATGCATCCTAGGCAACATCTCTGGAGATGAATTCCTAATGAAGAAGGAAGCCTTGGTGCTGTGTGTGCGAAGTGAGCAAACCAGGAAAAGGCATTCTGCCAATTTCCCCAATCATGGCATTCGTTTCTTCTTCCCGTTTTCTCTAAAACCTAGCTCATATCTGCTCTAGGTTTATAAGTTTCACACCACCTCTCGAGCCTTGATTCCGCGTAGGCGTTGAACACCCAGCCTAAGTCCTTTGTTGTCATCGTTCGCCCACCATCCTCCGTCATTTACCGTTGTTCCCGTCGAGAGCAGCAGAGCATGCGAGGCGGTCATCATTTTTCATTGTTCCCATTGCGCCCCTGTCGACAGAGACAGAGCAGGACAACAGTCAGTAGGCAAGGTAGCGGTGAGTCCTTTCCTTCCCATCATGACCTCGATGCTTGTTTTATTCCTTCATTCTCTCGCATACGAGCGCCACCAACAACCACCAGTCAACACCCGCCTTCGCTCGGCTAAGTCCTTTCCTGTAATAGCAGACAGTAGAGAACTTCAAGTGAGCTTTAATGGCGCGACTGGCTGCGGAGGAGGCTCTAGCACAGCTGCAGATCAACTAAGAGGAAGACATGGGTGAGCCTCAAAACAATGATGTGGTTGTCCCCGATGAGCACACCATGGATATTACTGGACCGCCAGAGCCGCGGGTATGAGGTCGCCCATCCAGCACCCTCAAGTTCTAGCCAATAACTTAGAGGTGAGCATCTCTATCATCGCCATGTTGCGTGAATCGGTGGTATTCCGTGGAAAGGAGGGAGAGTGTCCCAGATCGCATCTGCGACGATTCCATGAGCTCATCGATGGGATCAAGATAAATGGAGTCCCAGCCGATGCCATTGAGCTGAGATACTTCCCATTCACTCTGGAGGGGCAACCCAAGGAGTGGCTGGACACTCGGCCTCCTGGATCGATCACCACGTTCGCCAACCTGGCAGACAAGTTCCACACCCTCTATCATCCTCCGTCCAAGACGGCGGACCTGCAGAAGCAGATCAACCACTTTGCCTAGGAGGAAGATGAAACCATTCGGGACGCTTGGGAAAGATATACCAGTCTTTTCCTAAAGTGTCCCAACCATGGGTTCAATGACGCCTTCAAGGTGGGCACCTTCTATCATGCCCTCTTCCCAGAAGACAAGCAGCTGATTGACTCGATTTGCGGCGGGAACATGCTAACCAAGACCCCACCACAGCTGAATAGACTATTTGAAGAAATGGCAGAGCAGGGATATGATTGGGGAACTGCCAGGAGATCGAGACGAGCACTAGGTGGGGGTGTGCATGCTATGGCCACCCATTCGTCTGAGTTGGTGCAGGTGGTATCTAAGATGGTCTCAGCCATTGATCATTGTGGAATGGTTTCAGGGACAGGAAAATAGCAGGCAATGCATTGCCAGTGGTGCGAAAGCTCCCATCACACTATAGAAGACTGTCAGGCGATGAGGGAGTCGACTACCCCCCAGGAGCAGTTGGACTTCATCGGCAATGCCTGGCGTTTCGACCCCTACAACAACACTTATAACGAGGGGTGGCGCCATCATCCCAACTTCTTCTAGAGTGGACCTAATCCTCGGCCACCAGTCTCTCGGTGACCATCAGGCTTTCAGAGACCTCCTTACCAGCCAAGACAAGGGAAATTCCAGCAATAGCAGCAGCCTCTCTATCCGGCCAGACAGGGGTCGGCTCCTCCTCAGACACAGATGAGGCAATTTCAGCAGCCAGGTGCAGCCCCCACAGTCTAGTACAGAGCGATCCTATGGCCGATTTGAGAGATCTTGTGGGTTCTCTAGCCACATCCAGTGCGAATAAGTTCAGCAACATCGAGCAGTTCATGGAGAAAGCTAGAAGCTAGCCAGAGAAACACGCAGGTTGTACTGCAGGATATCTAGACCCAGCTCGGGAGTGTGGCCCAGGCTGTAGCACAGAGGGCTCCGGGTATTTACCCGGGTAGACCATTCCCCATCGGCAGGACCCAAATGAACACTGCCAGGCCATTACTACCAGGAGTGGCAAGGTGACTGCGGACCCACCTGTCCAAACACGACAGGAGAGAGAAATACCTGCTTAAGCACTTCCAGCTAATGAAGAAGAACTGGAGGAGGTTGAGGGGCGTACTCCTAAACCACAGCTAGTGGTGAAAGAGTATGTCCCTCAGCTCCCCTTTCCTACTCGGTTGCACAAAGACCGACTGGAGACTGAGTTTGCCAAGTTCATGGCAATGCTGAAGCAAGTGAACATTAGTATGCTCTTCGTGGAGGCATTGTCGAAGATGCCCAAGTATGTTAAGTTCATGAAAGATCTCCTCACTAACAAGAGGAAGCTTGGGGAGCTGTCGACGGTGATGCTCAAGGAGGAGTGTTCTGCCATCCTGCAAAACAAGCTACTAGAGAAGCGCAGAGACCCAAGGAGTTTCATTATTCCTTGCATGATTGGTATTTTGCATGTAGGAAAGTCCTTGGCAGATTTAGGTGCTCGCATAAACGTAATGTCATATAAACTGTTTAAGAAGCTAGGCCTAGGTGAACCCAGTAATACTAGGATGAGCATTCAACAAGTTGATAGATCCATTGTGCATCCTACGGGCATTGCGGAGGACTTGATAGTCGTAGTGGGGCCATTCTCATATCTTGTTGATTTTGTTATTCTTGATATAAATGAGGATGTGGATGTGCCTTTAATACTGGGTAGACCTTTTCTCGCAACCACTAAGGCGCTTATTGATGTGAATGATGGGAAGTTAATTTTGAGGGCTGGGGGTGAACAAATCACCTTCTCTGTTTCTGATAATATGAAACATCCCGAGCTCCATGATGATCTAGACTACTGAGATGTTATTGCTGATTTTGAGACCGCACTCGCCATCACTAGTGCGGGTACTGACGATTTCCTCGAGCATTTTCTTTTGCTAGAGGAACAGGCATTACAGGAGTTGCAGTTGGAGGAGCAGCTTGATGAAGCCACGATCAAGGGGGAGAGAAACCATTCAAGCCGATCCATATGATGAGCCCCTACATGGGTCTTAGTTTTCAGAATAACGCAGGTACGAATCATCAGCAACTCCAAGATTGACACCATTCGTGTACCTTGTCAAATCTGCTGCAGGGATTCGTATAGTTCTCTCTAATAGTATCCAGGAACAAACCGATCTCTTAGAAGACCTCAAAGGTCTTCCCACATTGTAATTTTTGGATGGAGGTTACGTCGTCGTTGCAATCGAACTTGCTCCCACCATTGAGCAGCATAGTCCGTAAACTCGTAGGTGGCCAAGACCACCTTCTGCTGCTTAGAATAATTTCCCAATTGAAAGAATAACATTACCTTTCGCTCCCAATCCAGGTAATGTGAGGCATTGAGAGATCCAGTGAATGGAGGGATGGTTAGTTTGATGCCTGGCGAAATGGTAGGCTCTGCCTCTGGCCTCCGTTCCCTGTAATCACGACGATCGTGATTTGGTAGTCCAGGATGGGGATCTGCAACCACCAATCTTTGCTCAATGTCTTTAATTCGTGCCGATAGTTCTTGATTGGCGTCGTTTTGAACTGGTTTGGCGGCCTGGCGAACTCCTTCGTGCTCTGCCCTATTCTATGGCGAAGCAGGGTTAGGAATTTGCAGGCGAAGCTCGGCTAATTGGCGATTAACCTACTCGAATTGAGTCTAGAAGTACCGTTGTAAAGCTTCCATCGTCACAGGTTGTGCAGGTTGCTCGTCGCCCATGACTGTCTACTTCTCCTTCCTCCTTTGTTTTGGGATTAGGAGCGCAGGATCACTAGAAACAGGGCCCTTCGACCTTGTCTAATGTATGATTCCAGTGACGCCTTCTATTGTCGTCGTCGTCTTTTGTGCCCTGCGTTTGAACCGGGCTCGTGATACCACTTGATGAGGCCCTATATGGGTCTTAGGTTTCAGAATAACGCAGCTACGAATTGAGCTTGCTCAATTCCAAAGTCTTGATCAAAACAGGGGGGTTTGTAAGTGGATGGATGGTCAATTTCGTGTAATTTCACACAACAGGGAAAGACTCGAAATAGATATATCAAAGCCTGGCCCCGAAGAGCGTGAATAGTTGAATGATACAAGCACTCAAGCTGCTTAGAACTCTTCCTAAACAAATCTCAATCTCACGAAGCACAAGCTTTGTGAACCAAACTCGGGTTGGTATTCGAATCCAAAAACTGAGTTTTACAATGCAACTGATCAGCCTTAAATAGACCTATGTTAACTAACAAACTTGATATGGAAAACCAATTCTCAAACAAACAAGGAAATAGAGTTCAAACAGAAAAGGGAAAACACTTTAGTCGCAATCCTAGTCCGAAGCGGATTCGGATTACTCCTTGCAAGACAGTCCTCTCGACAGCTTCCATACGATCTTGCTTGCCTTTGTTAGAAGCCTTCAAAGTATGGTTTTGATCACCCAATGCCTCTACTTTGTTCTATGAGAAATTTACTTTCGTGTGGTTGCATCCTTGGAACTCGATTACCCTCCAAACCCCTCGAACCAAGCTCCAAAAGTTGGTACCTACGCTGCCTTCCAAACTTAGTGAAAATCTAACAGTTTTCCAGTTTTAGCGTAGGGTTTTGAGAAGCTTGAAAATCAGTCTTCCTGACCTCTTCTCGAACTCCCAACCATTTCCACTTATAGATAAACTTCCCAGCTTCACAACAAGCCTTTATTCACCCTTTTTCGTCGAGCCAAACACAAGGTGCATATGTGCAAAGAAGGGTACCTAAAACACTTACAACACTTGGACAAACATCATAGTTCTTGTTAGTGTTTGAGATTACTTTTTGATTAAGCAATTCAATCTTGTTGGGTGACCCAAATTGGATCATATCACCCTATCTCGCCCCGTATCGCCACATCATTGGATGAGCCACCAGAGCTAGAGCTTAAACCCCTCCCCTCTCACCTGGAGTATACATTTATCCGGGAGGGGAATAAGCTCCCGGTCATTATCAGATCGGATCTGACACCCAAGCAGAAGAGCAGACTGGTGGCTCTACTGAGGAGGTATGCCCGGGCCTTGGCATAGAAGATACCTGACATCAAAGGCATTAGCCCATCCTTCTGCTCCCGCAGAATTATGATGGAGGATGAGGTTAAGCGAGTCAGGCAACCACAGCAGAGATTGACTCCTAACTTGGAGGCAAAGGTCGGGGCAGAGATTGTAAAGCTGATGGATGTAGGGATCATCTTTGATATATCTGATAGCAAGTGGGTCAGTCCCACTCAGGTGGTCACGAAGAAAGGCGGGACGACTGTGGTCCCGAATGAGAAGAACGAGTTGATTACGATGTGGACCATGACTGGCTGGAGAGTCGGCAATGACTATCGGTGCCTGAACGACGCCACCAGGAAAGATCATTTCCCCCTGCCTTACATTGATCAGATTTTGTAGAGGTTAGCTGGCCATGAGTTATACTGCTTCATAGATGGCATGTCTGATTATTTCCAAATTCTCATTGCACTAGAGGATCAGGCGAAGACCACATTCACTTGCCCCTTCGGTACTTTTGCTTGCCGGAGGGTTTCCATTCGGGCTATGTAATGCACCGGCAACCTTCTAGAGATGTATGATGGCGATCACCTCGGCTGGGAGAAGTGCCATTTTATGGTTCCTGAGAGGATTGTACTCGGGCACAAGATCTCCAAGCAGGGGATTGAGGTAGAACGCGCTAAGATAGAGACAATCATCAAGCTACCTCCTCCCATTTATGTGAAGGAGACCCGCAGCTTTCTGGGTCATGCAGGCTTCTACCGGCGCTTCATCAAGGATTTCTCGAAGATCACCCTACCTCTGACCAAGCTGCTGGAGAGCTTACCCATGTACCCATCATGGTGACTCCTGACGGATCTATTCCCTTTGAGTTGATGTGCGATGCGAGTGACTACGCAGTCGGAGCTGTTTTGGGTCAGAGACGCAAGAAGCACTTCCAGCCCATCTACTACGCGTCGAAGACCTTGAACGATGTACAAGAGAACTACACCACCACTGAGAAAGAGCTACTTGCCATGGTGTATGCATTTTACAAGTTCCAACCCTATCTGGTGCTCTCCCATGTGGTGGTCTACACAGACCACTCCGCGATTCGCTATCTGATGAGCAAGGCTGATGCAAAGCCTAGACTCATCCGCTGGATCCTCCTTCTGCATGAATTTTATATCCAGATCCGGGACAAGAAGGGAGCCGAAAATAATGCTGCAGATCATCTTTCACGGTTGGAAGCCCCCCCGGAGGACAACTTCGTGGAAGAGATCAACGACTCCTTTCCGGGTGAGTGATTGCTAGCGATGACCTTGGTAGAGAGCATGGCCCCTTGGTATTATGACTTTGCCAATTATCTGGTGGGCAAGCAGCTACCGAAGGGGATGTCCATTCATGCAAAGTGCAACTTCTTCTCCAACCTAATGCATTATTTCTAGGAGGATCCTTACCTCTTCCGTATCGGAGCAGATGGCGTGATCTGGCACTGCGTCATGGAGCACGAGATGGGAGACATCTTGTCTCAATGCCACAAGGTACCTACGGCGCGGAAGGTGCTACAGTTGGGCTTCTACTGGCCCTCGCTCTTCAAGAATGCCGACACCTTTACACGATAGTGCGACCGCTGCCAGAGGTTAGGTAACATTTCTTCCCTGGATGAGATGCCCCAGCATATATCTGTCGTTTTTGAAATTTTTGATGTTTGAGGCATCGATTTCATGGGCCCATTCGCTCCATATTTTGGCAATTTGTACATATTGGTTGCGGTAGACTACGTCTCGAGGTGGGCAGAAGCTCAAGCCGTGCCCACTAAGGACGCAAGACGGGTCTACTCATTTGTAAAACAACTGTTCTCCCGGTTTGGGAGTCCTCGCGCCATCATAAGTGATAGAGGAACCCATTTTCAAGGGAAATTCACTAAGCTCCTCTTTCGCTATGGTGTTAAGCATCAGGTGTCAGTGGCTTACCATCCCCAGACGAATGGTCAAGCCGAGCTGACGAAATGGGAGCTTAAAAGAATAATTAAAAAGACTGTGGATCAGTCCCGCAAGGATTGATCCACCAAGCTCGATGATGCTCTCTGAGCATATAGGAAAGCCTACAAAAACACAAATGGTACTTCACCATATAGGCTTGTCTATGGGAAGGCGTGTCATTTGCCCGTCGAGCTAGAGCACAAGGCCTTCTGGGCCCTTAAGCTGCTAAATCTGGATTTGAGTGTTGTAGCTACTGAACGTAAGCTGCAGCTGCTGGAGTTGGAGGAATGGCGTTACCACACATAAGAGAACACCCTGCTCTACAAGGAGCGAACCAAGCGTCTCAACGACGCTTAGTTGACCATGTTTTGCTCTTTAATTCACGCCTGAAACTCTTTCCGGGCAAGCTGCGTTCGAGGTGGTCGGCACCCTTCACGATCACCCAAGTATTCCCGCACGGTGCGGTGGAGATCAGCAATGCTCAAACTGAGTCGTTCAAAGTGAACGGCCACCTCTTAAAGTTGTACTTGGGAGGTGATGTCGAGCGCGCAGAGCTGGTGATCAAGCTCGAGAACCCTTAGTTCCTCTACTGGCGTCCAGCTAAAAGAAGGTAAAGAAGCGCTTGTGGGGAGGCAACCCCGCCAAGTTTTGCATTCCTTTCCTTTTTGTTTTTAATTTGTGTTTTTGAGTCGTGAGGTGTTATCGAAGGTTGCGATGCCTCTTTTTTGCGAAAACTGGTCGAATCCGGGGCTCTAGAATTCCAGACGGCCAGGCCTAAATCCTACACGGCCGCGTGGAAATCTCCTTTGGCAGTGTGAAGCCCCTGAAAATTCTACTCGGCCAGCCCGTGTGGATTTCTCGGCCTAATACGGGCAACATTTTCACCCACACAGTCGTGTGGTTCTGCCCGTGTGGCGACCCACGCGGCTATAAAAAGCTGTCACGTGATAGACCATTGATTGCACATGTTCTTACCCCTATTCTTGAGCCGTTTGAGATGTTGATTCTCGTGTTTTAAGCCGATTTTAGGCTAGGTTGTCCGCCTATCTCATATTTCAGGGCTTGGCATTGACATCGAGGCGCAGGAGCGAGTTTCGGGTCGAAAGGAGCACGTTTGGGTTGAAGTGTGTTGGGGGAGCAAAATACCCAGCCATGAGCAGAAATACCCGGCCGGGTACTATTTGGAGAAGACCAGGGAATTCACATTTTGGGCGTCTGAGAAGCAGAATGGGACCCGGTCGTGACGCTAAAATCCTCTTTCGGGGATTCTTGGCCTTGACCGGGGATTTTACCCTGTACCCAGACGTTGCGTTTTGAAGATACCCGACCTCTACCCAAAATACCCGACCGGGTATTCAGGCCAGGGATCGCGACAGACAGCTTCTTAAGGGAAAAGAAGGGCAAAAGAGAAGGGTTCCAAGATTTAGAGAGAAAAAGCGATACCTAGAGAGAGAAAGTGACGAACCTGATTCTGCAAGTGTCCTATATCGATCTCCATCACCATTGGAGCACGGCTTGAGCTTGGAGAGGAGCTGATTGAGTGCCAGAAGAAGATTCTCATCCTTCACAGTATGGTTTCCGTATCTGAGCTAGATTTCCCATCTCTCTCTATGGAGTAACTTTCTTATTCACCTGGGTATGAAGAACCCTAGATTTGTATGTTAGGTCTTATTGTATAAACCCAAGTACAGATTCAGTGGTATGATTCTGTTCAATTGAGGTTTGATTTGTTGAATGGCATGAATCCTGATCAAATTCCTGTTGTTTCTGCTTTAACCTAGAAAGAGAATATCTGCCTAGGTTGATAGAGCACCCTTGATTGAAGGTAGGGAGTTGGTGACTATAGTCGAGGAGCCAATTCACTATTCTGTACCGAATTTACTTCGGTAGTGGAGGTTTTGTTCGTTAAGGCCTCAATTTGTTTACTCCGAGGTTAGTCGCCCGCTGGAGACTCAGATTGAGAGGGTCTGATGATCTTTAGTCGAGACTAAAGACTATTTAAGAACCTCCCGCAGTATAACTATCATTGAAATTGGACTTGGTAAATTACAATCCGGCTTAACTGCAGTCTAAGGGGAACCATATCCTGGTGACCTCTCTCGACTTGAACACAACCTTTTTACTTGTTTTGCTTGTTTGCTTGTTTGGATCTTCACTAAAGTTTCACTGCTAGATAATAAGAACTCACAGAGTAGTCATCGCATCTAGGACCCGGGTTAACATTAAAACCCAAACCCGCTATACTACGCTTTAGGAAGTGGTTACACTTGGCCATTTTCTAGAGTAACGGTAAGAGCGAGTCAAGTTTTTGGCGCCGTTGCCGGGGACGGCTAGGTTGTGTAAGAAACGTGAATTCTGTTAATTTAGCTTTTCTTTTTAGCATTGTTTGCTTTGTCACACTTGTGCCTTCATAGGTTTGTTGCTTGACTGTGTGCAGGTAGTTCATGACTCGTAGCTAGTCAGGAGGTTTACTGTCGTTGGATCCGGAGCTTGAACGCACCTGTCGCCAACTTAGGAGACAACAGCTAGCTAGACTGGCTACGGAGGAGCGCATAGACGGCCACTTGAGCAGCGATTCTGAGGAAGAGTACGAGATGGAAGGAGACCATAGCCCGCCATAGGGGATACCTCTCCAGGTTCCCCCAGTGAACCAGATCCTGGGGAACAACCCAATACCCCAGGCAGATGGGGTTCAGCATCAACCACCACCGCAGCTGGGTCCCACCTTGGAGTACTACTACACTCCACGGGTTGCTGATATCCGCCCTGTCATCCTCTACCCGCCCATTCCAGCGAACAACTTTGAGATTAAGCCATGTTGGATTCAACTCATTACATCCTCTATCCAGTTTCATGGCTTGAAGGATGAGGAGGCAAGGGTGCATCTTTCCCGTTTCCTGCAGCTGACGAACGGGTTCAAGATGAACGGTGTCCCTGATGATGCAATCCGCCTTCACCTCTTCCCCGATTCTCTGGCGGGGCATGCAAAGTGATGGCTAGAGATTCAGCCCCCATTGTCCATCATATCTTGGGACAATCTTGCCGACAAGTTCGTGCACAGGTACTATCCAGCATCGAAGACTGCAGAGATTCAGCGGGAGATCACTCACTTCCGCCAAGAGCTAGATGAGTCACTTCGTGATGCATGGGAGCGATACTCCGGGTTTTTCTGGCAGTGCCCCCATCATGGGTTCAGTGATGCATTCACCGTGGGGAACTTCTACAGTGCTCTCTCTCCGGAAAGCTAGAGGGTGATTGAGTCTTTGTGCCCAGGAGGGGATATTCTTACTAAGACTCCACCCGAACTGAACCAGTTGATCAGTACCTTGGCTGTCAGAGATCATTCCGGGGGGCAGAGCACCAGAGGATGGAATTCCCGGGATCGAGGTGTGCATGCCATGGAGGCCAGGTCCAGGCTAGAGCGGCAGGTGGCCAAGTTGGTGCAGACATTGAAGCAGCCCAACAGTCTTATTCCAGGCAGAGGTTTGGTTGTGCCTCCAGTAGCTCAATGTCAGTGGTGTGAGAGCTCGAATCATCTGGTGGAAGATTGCCAGGCTATGCGGGAGTATTCTACTCCCCAAGAGCAGTTGGACTTCATCGCCAATGCTCGGCGCCTTGACCCATACAGCAATACATACAATGAGGGGTGGCGCTAGCATCCCAACTTCGCTTGGAATAGCAACACCACTAAACCACCTGGTTTCCCACACCAGTAGGTGGTTTTCAGCAGAGGCAGCCTTTCCAGGCTAGACAAGGGCCACTCCCACAGCAACATCCCTACCAGCCTAGGCAGTGGCAGCCATTCCAGCAGCCCCAGCGTCAGTAGGCCGAGCCAGCAGCAGCTCCAGCTCCCAATAATCAGATGACCGAGCTGAAGAACATTTTGGCGGCATTCATGACTACAAGCCAGACGAATTTTACCAGGATAGACCAAAGCATCGCCGCACTGGAGGCAGGCTAGAGGAACCAAGGTGCCATTTTGCAAGATCTACAGAATCAGTTTGGTGGCATAGCTCGCCAAAACACTACCTAGGCTAGGTAGGAAGAGCCACTACCTGCTTCAGCACTTCTAGCCGACGATGCAGAAGTGAGGGTGGAGAAGGAAGCCCCTGCTCCCAAGCCACAACCAGTGGTTAAGGAGCACGGACCCCAGCTTCCCTTCCCCACTCGACTACACAAGGATAAGTTGGAGACTGAGTTTGCCAAGTTTATGGCAATGTTGAAGCAACTCAACATCAGCATGCCGTTCGTGGAGGCGCTGTCGAAAATGCCCAAGTACGCCAAGTTCATGAAGGATCTCCTCACCAACAAGAAGTAACTTGGGGATCTCTCGACAGTGCTGCTGAGCGAGGAGTGTTCTGCCATCTTGCAGAACAAGCTGCCCGAAAAGTGCAAAGACCCAGGAAGTTTCACTATCCCTCTTAATATTGGCAGCATGCATGTAGGGAAGTCCTTGGCAGACCTAGGCGCTAGCATAAATGTCATGTCGTACAATTTGTTTAAAAATCTAGACCTAGGTGAACTTAGCCCTACAAGGATGAGCATTCATTTAGCTTATCGCTCTATTGTGCATCCTAGGGGTATCATAGAGGATCTACTTGTTCAAGTAGGCGCATTCACATATCCTGTTGATTTTTTTATTCTGGATATAAATGAGGATGTGGATATGCCTTTGATTCTGGGTAGACCATTTCTTGCCACCGCCAAGGCACTTATTGATGTGCATAGTGGTAAACTAATCTTGCGTGCTAGGAATGAACATGCTACTTTTTCTGTGACTGAATTAGATCATTGTGATAGGCCTGCTGTCACACCTATGCATGTTATTTCTGACCAGGTACACGAGCCTGTCGTGTACCCCTCTGTGCCTCTCGTTTTGGAGGACTCCCCTCTCACGCCTTCGCCGCCACTCCCTCCAACCTCACCTCCAAATAAAAAGATCAAAGAGGAGTGGCGGCCGAAGCAGCAGGTGGCTAAGCCTGCTTGGAAGAAAAGTGGAGACCACTATGAGCTGGTCCCACCTCCTGTACCACGACCACCCTGACCATCCGAGTACTCACTCACTTGCATCCTGCCAGATGGCCAGGTCGAGCTGACAAATGCTGGTGGTCGCACCCATCGGGTGCGTGGCCATAATCTGAAGCTGTACCTCAAGAGCGATGTGGATCCGCTCTTGGAGGCACCTGTTCTTGCACCCCTCTTGAGTATCCACCATGGGCGTCCAGCTAAAAGACGGTAAATAAGTGCTTGTGGGGAAGCAAAATCACCACGGTTTGCATTTCTTTTTCCCTTTTTCTGTGTTTTGGTGTCGTGTTGAGTCAGTTGCATGTCTGTGTTGAAGTTCGGTAGTCTGTTATGCCTCGATTTGGTGTTTTCGTGCAGGGGAGGTCGAAAAATTGGGAGTTTGAGTATTTTGGCTAGAAGAGGAAAATACCCGGTCGTGGGTCAAAATACCAGACCGGGTATTTTTGGCACGTGACCGGGACCCCTTCTTCCTTCCAAGGTGAAAAATGGCAAATCCCCGACCTTAACCGAAAAATACCCGACCGGATATTTTTTGCTCAAGGCCGGGGATTTTCCAACAGCTCATGGACCATCAGGTCCAGTTTTACCAGCAGTATTCAGCCCACCAGGCCGAGTACCAGTCCAGGCTGACAGTTGTAGACGAGCGCCTCGACCGGATGGAGGCCCAGATGGGAGTCACTGGTGCTTTCATCGAGCAGGAGCGGGATCGCGGCCACAGGTTGATGGAGTACCAGGAGCACCTGCTCCAGTCTTGTCACCCACCAGATGGGAGTCACTGGTGCAAACTGTCTTGTGTGTTGGTTTATTTTCTTTCTTTTTATTTTTATTTTGGATGATGTACTATTGGGCAGACCATTGGACCTAACGTCTTGTGTTTGAGTTCCTCTGTTCTCTTTAGCTGTGCTTTGTTCCTGACTAGTCCTCTCTTTAGTCCACTTCACTCAGACTGGTCCCCTTCCAATCTCATGCAGTCTGTGCACACCGGTAACATCGTTTCCCTTATCCTTCCCTCTTCTCCATTGAGGGCAATGTCGATCTTAAGTGTGGGGGATGTTTCTCTTTTGACTGCATTAGATCTGTTTGTGTGCTTTGAGCCTAGTCCACTGTCCAAATTTTTAAATTTGAGGGCTCCAAGTACGTGTTTCCTTGCAAATTGCTTTCTCAGTATGCTTTGAATTGACAGTCTCTATAGTAATGTGCAACCTAGGGAGGTAGTGTAGCACTATGGAGGATGTTGAAGTATAAGATTTTTCCTATCTAGCTCTCTGCTGTGCCATTTGATTTTGTGAATTAGTGGAGCTAAGACTGTTGAATTCATGTGTTAATGGTGACTATATTTGGATTGTGTTATGGACTCGTGTATCGAACAGGGTGCTCATGTGGAAAATGAAAAGCAGTTGGTCCTCCATGTTGAAATCATCGAAATCTTAAACATGGGGAAAGCCGAACGTGTGTGGCACCGTTCATTGCACAAAGTCAGGTTTTGGAGGAGATTTTAATGATCCTTAGTGGGGTACTCCTACAAAGTGAAGCTAAGTTGTCTCTAGTACAAGTAAAACTTCCACCCGTTGAACGGTTTGCCTACTTGAGGATGTGTTTTTAAGGGCACGGATAGAGCTTCCGACCCCCCTTAATTTCATTGACCCTCCACACGAGTTGAGGAAAGGGAGTTAAAAGAATTACTCTGGCAAGCACCAGATGTACAAAAATTGCTCTTGCTCGACTAATAAGGGTCGACCTTGCAAAAGACTGCAGTTGGAACCCCCGCTAAGTGAACGAAAAAAAAAGAATTAAAATGAAAGTGAAAAGGGGTTCCAACGGTGAAATGAAGTGAAAGAGCACCCCGGTACAACGAGTCCTTGGTTATGAATGGTATGAGTCCCTTTATCCATGAACTGACTGTCTTACTTCTACTTCTTCTGATGATCCTGGCTTGAGTCTAGTACTCGCATTGAGAGAGATAGGGAGCGTCTTAGAAGACCAGTTGACCTCATAAGCTGCTATATGATCTAGGAAATCCTCTACCGACGATCGGGGTTGTTTGTTGCTATAGAGGTCTGGAGAGTTGCATTGGTTTGAGTTGGTTTGCTTGGGTACAAGCAAACGGTTAAGTGTGGGGGAGTTTGATAGACCATTGATTGCACATGTTTTTACCCCTATTCTTGAGCCGTTTGAGATGTTGATTCTCATGTTTTAAGCCGATTTCACGCTAGGTTGTGCGTTTATGTCATATTTCAGGGCTGGGCATTGACATCGAGGCGCATGAGCGAGTTTCGGGTAAAGAAGCACGTTTGGGTTGAAGTGTGCTGGAGGAGCAAAATACCCGGCCGAGTATTATTTGGAGCAGACCGGGGAATTCACGTTTTGGGCGTCTGAGAAGCAGAATGGGACCCGGTTGTGACGCTAAAATCCCCGGTCGGGGATTCTTGGACTTGACCGGGGATTTTCCCCTGTCCCCAGACGTTGCGTTTTGAAGATACCCGGCCTCTACCCAAAAAACCCGACCGGGTATTCAGGCCGGGGATCGCGACAAACAGCTTCTTAAGGGAAAAGTAGGGAAAAAGAGAAGGGTTCCGAGTTTTAGAGAGAAAAAGCGATACCTAGAGAGAGAAAGTGACGAACCTGATTCTACAAGTGTCCTAGATCGATCTCCATCACCATTGGAGCGCGGCTTGAGCTTGGAGAAGAGCTGATTGAGTGCTAGAAGCAGATTCTCATTCATCATAGTATGGTTTCCGCATCTGAGCTAGATTTCCCATCTCTCTCTATGGAGTAACTTTCTTATTCACCTGGGTATGAAGAACCCTAGTTTGTATGTTAGGTCTGATTGTATGAACCCAAGTACAAATTTAGTGGTATGATTGTGTTCAATTGAGGTTTGATTTGTTGAATGGCATGAATCCTGATCAAATTCCTTTTGTTTCTGCTTTAACCTTGAAAGAGAATATATGCCTAGGTTGATAGAGCACCCTTGATTGAAGGTAGGGAGTTGGTGACTTTAGTCGAGGAGCCAATTCACTATTCTGTACCGAATTTACTTCGGTAGTGGAGGTTTTGTTCGTTAGGGCCTCAATCTATTTACTCCGGTGGAGGTTAGTCGCCCGCTGGAGACTCAGATTGAGAGGGTCTGGAGGCCTTTAGTCGAGACTACAGACTGTTTAAGAACCTCCCGCAGTATAACTATCATTGAAATTGGACTTGGTAAATTACAATCCGGCTTAACTGCAGTCTAGGGGGGACCATATATGGGTGACCTCTCTCGACTTGAAAACAACCTTTTTACTTGTTTTGCTTGTTTGCTTGTTTGGATCTTCACTAAAGTTTCACTGCTAGATAATAAGAACTCACGGAGTAGTCATCACATCTAGGACCCGGGTTGACATTAAAACCCAGACCCGCTATACTATGCTGTAGGAAGTGGTTACACTAGGCCATTTTCTAGAGTAACAGTAAGAGCGAGTCATCGCGCGGCCGTGTGAGGCCTAAACTCATCTCCCTTCCCCGGAATTCTCTCCCCTCGTCGGAAAACCTTACTTTTTCAAAACAAAATTGCAATTTTTCCTGCCATTTTTTGTTGGTTTTTCACAAAACCAACCTCATATTCCATCTCCCCTCCTCCTTTTCGGCCTATCCCTTCGTTTTGAGGCGATTTGGGCCAGATTTGGGTCACCGGAGGCGATTTCCGACGAGGCTGCCACGAGCACTTCCAGGAAGAATTTTGGTGTTTCGTCGATTCCATTACCTTCCCCTCATCATCCCCTACACCTTTACTTGTGTCTCCAGGTTTGATTTTGCCCTTTATATTATGAATTGTGGAGAATTGGGTGTTAGGGTGTGTATTTAGAGAACCACATTGAAATGGGATGTTTCCCTTGCTTGATTGAGCCCATGTGTTCTAGGAATTCGTCCATACTATTCTTAATTTAAAAGTGCACACAAGGTGTTCGATGAAATGTCAGTTTTTTAATCGATTTTGTGGGAGCCAGTTGAGGCCCTTAATGATGTGATCTGATGGTGTGTTTGTTATGGATGTGAACCTTGAGTTGCCTACTTTATTGTTGATGTGCACCCCCACCCAGATTGTGCTTGTTTGCTTGAGTTATTAAACCCCGAACTATGGATGAAACTATGGTTCGGCTTTTTAAGTGTCAAGGGTGTGATTGACCGTTCCTATGGCTCTTTTGGCTCCACTTTGGTTCACATTCTTGCAGGACCATGACAAAGCCAAACCTTAAGCATCTGTTCAGCAATGATTTGAGAAGGGCGCCCACAAGGATCGATTTAAGCGCGTCCTAGCCTCTTAGTTTGGGAAGCATCGCTCTTAGAGCATGAGGGAGTTTTAGAAGCTGAATTGCTACGAACACTTCCTTCGTGCAAAACGAGACCACCGACTGGAAAGACAGCAAGGCCATCAATTTCAGGCTTGGCAGTGAACCTCGCTCCATGAGCTACCACGACTTTGCTGTCGTTTTCGACCTCGACATGGACAATGATGAGGAGTATTTCACCGAGGTCGTCAACCCAACCGGTGTGTCCTTCAAGGCTCTGTACCCAGCTAGCTCAGCCCGCTCAGGACCAATTCACTTCGGGGTGGACGAAGGTGATAACGATGTAATTGCACATATTTGCGCCCCTAGTTCTTATCCGTTTGAGGGGCATGGTCGTGTGTTTTGGCCTATTTTACGCCGAGTTGTGCTATTTTGTCGTGTTTCAGGTCCCAGGCGTCAAAGGGAAGGCTAACCGCGAGTTTCGGGGCATTCGGAAGTCATTTCGGTGAGCTGGAGCCAAAACACGGGCAGCCGAAGGCATTACACGGTCGTGTACCTCTGGCCGTGCTTTTTATGCCGAGAGCAAATTTGGTTTGGCCAATTCAGTTGCAAACACGGGCACTGAAGCACGGCCGTGTTCAGGCAAAGCACGGCCGTGTACCTCGCGAAGCACGGCCGTGATTCCAACAGCTGCTGGCCGTGTAATTAAACACTGGCCGAAACACGGGCAGGCTCAGCCAAAGCACGGCCGTGCCCTCGACCGTGCTTTGGCCACTGATGCTTTTAAGCAGATTTTCAGCCATAACTCAAGGGGATTCGAGTTTTTGAGAGAAAGAACGACTTCTAGAGAGAGAAAGTGACGAGCAAGAGTTCCCAAGTGCCCTAGATTGATCTTCAACACCATTGGAGGCCAGCTTGAGCTTGGAGAAGTGCCAATCAACGTCCAGAAGCAGGAATCCATCCTTCGCAGTATGAATTCCGTGTCTGATTCTGCTTTTGCTTCTTTCTCCATGGAGTAGTTCTCCCATTCATCTGGGTATGGAGAACCCTAGATTTGTATGTTATGCTTTGATTGTATGAACCCAAGTACTGATTCTGTGATTGATTATATTCGATTGAGGTTTTAATGATTGAATGACTTGAATCCTGATCAAATTCCTGTTGTTTCTGCTTTAACCTAGAATGAGAATATCTGCCTAGGTTAATAGAGTATCCTTGATTGAAGGTAGGGAGTTGGTGACTTTAGTCGAGGAGCCAACTCACTATTCTGTACCGGATTTACTCCGGTAGTGGAGGTTTTGTTCTTAGGGCCTCAATCTGTCGACTCCGGTGGAGGTTAGTCGCCCGCTAGAGAGTCAGATTGAGAGGGTCTGAAGACCTTTAGTTGAGACTTCAGGCTGTTTAAGAACCTTCCGCAGTATAACTGTCATAGAAACTGAACTTGGTAATTACAATCGGGCTTAACTGCAGTCTAGGGGGAACCATATCCGGGTGACCTCTTAACCTGAATACAACCGTTTGTTTGCTTTGTTAGTTTGTTAGTTTAGACTTGCATTCCAGTTTCATTGCTAGATAACAAGAATTCACTGAGTAGTCATCACATCTAGGACCCGGGTTGATAATTAAACCCAAACCCGCTATACTACACTTTAGGAAGTGGTTTCACTTGGCCAATTCCTGGAGTGACAGTAGAGTCGAGTCAGAAGGCCAGCACTCTACAGTTAGAGAATCGCCTGCTCCATCACCTACTCACGAAGTCCTTCACTCCACCTGCCGAAAGTGCCAGCAACCTGACCAGGCGGTCCCTCTACTTCATCCACTCGATCCGCACTCAGCACCATGCACTCCACTTGGGATCGGTGGTGGCGAGGACTATGGACAAGAGTGCCTAGACTCTGGGAACCCTCCACTGCACCCCACTCATCACCCGACTGGCCGACTATTTCCAGGTCCCCTACCAGGATTGCACAGAGCAGGGTGGCACCTGGTTGTTCGGAGAAGATACGATCTTGAAGATGCACTTGCTGAGGGTCTCCCCCGGTGTCAAGTGGATTGAAGGCCTTCTTGTTCCCCCACTCATCACCCGACTGGCCGACTATTTCCAGGTCCCCTACCAGGATTGCACAGAGCAGGGTGGCACCTGGTTGTTCGGAGAAGATACGATCTTGAAGATGCACTTGCTGAGGGCCTCCCCCGGTGTCAAGTGGATTGAAGGCCTTCTTGTTCCACCCAATACCGACCTCCCTGTGGAGGATCAGACCGCGGAACTTGAGGATGCTGCCCCAGAGGATGTTCACCCTGAGGATGTGGACGCTTCTGGCGAGCACCCTGTCCCCTACCAGAGCACCTATGAGCATGGGGGTCGTAGTCTTCATTTCCATCTCAGGACTACTTCTCTCACCAGTTCCAGCAGCTGCATCTTCAGAATCAGCAGCTCCTCGAGGATTAGCTCCAGTTCTAGCAGTAGTACTCGGCCTTCCAGGCCGAGTATAACACCCAGATTGATGCATATGATGAGGCACAACAGGGGATCACTCTTGGTCACATTGAGCGGGAGCGCACTCGTTCTCACCGGATGCAGGAGGTCCAGCAGCACCTGCTTCAACTGAGACCAGGTGACCTGCCAGTTTGGAGGACTCCTTGGGAGGATTCCCCACTCCCACCCCCAGACACCGGTGACGATGCTTTCATGGCGGACATCGACCTTGAAAACCTCGGCGACGAGTAGTCTGTACTCGTCGCCCCCTTCGAGTGTGTTTGTGTGTTTTAGATTTTTTATGTTTGCTCCATGTGTGTGAGGAGCTTGAACTGAGTCTTTTGTGTGTTTTTTCTTTTGTGGATTTTTCGTTTTATGCCCATCTAGGCTGACTCTACTCGTCGCCCCCTTCGAGTGTGTTTGTGTGTTTTAGATTTTTTATGTTTGCTCCATGTGTGTGAGGAGCTTGAACTGAGTCTTTTGTGTGTTTTTTCTTTTGTGGATTTTTCGTTTTATGCCCATCTAGGCTGACTCTGATCCCTAACGCACAGTGTGCTAGTGTGTTATTCGTGTTCCCATCATGCAGAAATGTTCCATCGTTCCGTCTGTCCACGATGACTGGGCCATTTCCAGTCCCCCGCAGTCTTTCGTCCTGGTAACATCGTTCCCCTTATCTCTACCTCTGCTCTATTGAGGGCAATGTCGTGCTTAAGTGTGGGGGTGTTTATCTATTTTTGACTGCTAGATGAGTTTGTGTGCTTGGAGCCTAGTCCACTGTCCAATTTGATGAATTGAGGGCTCCAAGTCCTATTCCCAGCAAAATCCTGCTCTGTATGCTTTGAATTGACAGTCTTTATGGTGATATGCAACCTAGGGAGGTAGTTGTAGCACTATGGAGGATGTTGAAGTATAAGATTTTTTTCTATCTGTCTCTCTGTTGTGTCGGCTGATTTTGTGTACTAGTGTATTTAGGACTGTTGATTTATGTGGTATTGATGACTCTCCTTATATTTTTGTTGTGGACTCGTGTATCGAAAAAGGGTGCTCATGTGTGAAATGAAAAGGCAGTTGGTCCTCCATGTCAAAAACTTTGAAATCTTGAGGCATGGGGTAAGCCCAACGTGTGTGGCACCGTTCATTGCACAACAATCGGGTTTTGGAAGAGATTTTAGTGATCCTTGGTGGGGTAGGCCTACAAGGTGAAGCTAAGTTGTCTATAGTACAAGTAAAATTTTCACCCGTTGAACGGTTTGCCAACTCGAGGATTTGTTATTAAGGGCACGGATAGAGCTTCCGACCCCCCTTAATTTCATTGACCCGCCATATGAATTGAGGAACTGCAGTTGGAACCCCAGCAAAGTAAAACAAAAAGAAAAAAAACAATAAACAAATAGTAAGAAGGGGTTCCAACAAGTGAAATGAAATGAAAGAGCACCAGATACAATGAGTCCCTGGTTGTTGAATGGTGTGAGTCTCCTTATCCATGAATTGCTTGTCTTAGTTCAACTGCTTCTCATGATCCTGGTTTGAGTCTAGTACTCGTATTAAGAGAGATAGAGGGCGTCTTAGAAAGCCAGTTGACCTCGTAAGTTGCTAAATGATCTAGAAAATCCTCTGCCGACGATCAGGGTTGCGTGTTGCTATAGAGGTCTGGAGAGCTGCATTGGTTTGAGTCAGGTTTGCTTGGGGACAAGCTAACAGTTAAGTGTGGGGGAATTTGATGACTTGATACAATCACATGTTTTTGTTCACCACTCTTATACTGTTTGAGTCTCATATCTCGTGTTTTAGGCCAATTTCATGTTAGGTTGTTCTTGTTTGTGATATTTCAGGTCCTTGTACGTGAAGGAAGGTTTGGGCACGAGTTCAGGGTCAATTGGACGAAGTTGGGACGTTTGACGAAAAGCTGGGGAAACCACACGACCAGAACTAAATTCCACACGGCTGTGTGAGGTGGTCGTGTGGAACCCCTTCGCGCGAGCAAGCCACACTGGCCGTGTAAAGGGCCCTATTTGGCCGTATGGAATTCCCAGGGAGTTCACACGGACAGGCCATAATTCCACACGGTCGTGCGGTATTGGCCGTGCAGAGTGCATGAAGGCACTTAAGTGAAACGCGACATTTTGCAATTCCAGACGGGCAGCTGGGAAATTCTACACAGTCATGTGGCTTGCCAGTACAGTCACGAAATTCTTGGTTTTAACCCAATTTCGGGTCTCTTCCTCTTCCTCTTCCGACTCGTGGATTATCGATTCGGGTTGTCATGAACATATAGTTACGAATGATTCCTTATTTGTTGGTGAGTTCGAGAAAAAATTCGATTTGCAGGTTCGAATTAATACGCCCCTGGGGGGTGTATGTTATCAAAGTCACGCAGCAACACGATCAATCCGAAGATTGATTGAACTCGAACCAAGAACAACGTGTTCTTAATACGAAAATTGGATAAAACAGAAACGAAAGGGAATTCTTACACCTGGAAGAATGCACAATCGTTATGGTGAAGCTTTCGATATAATCCAGTGTGATTTCTCGATCAATAGCAGGTCAGCAAGTTTTGATCGCAACCAAAACCCAAGAACAAGTTCGCAAACTTGAACAAACCAAACGGTTTCTCTACGATTAATCAACTCTTATGTTTTTACAACGAAAACTAGAAGGTATTTTTAAAGGCAAATAAAACCTAATACAACCCTACATGAACAAGGAAACTAATTAGAACAGGAAAAGGCTAAAGAATTCGTGTAAAACGAGATAACTTGCAAGCCAAGAAACTGACTTAAAACACAAACAAGTCTGCCTAGGAAAACAGGATTCATAACATTTTTGGGCCCTTTGAAAATGGTCTTGTTGGTTGATTCGAACTCAACCAATTCATTTCCTTTGTAGAAGAAAATTTTCTCTTTCACCTCCAACTTGAATCCGCCCGAGATCATGCTCCAATCTCCAGATATAGTCCTTCAAAGTTGGTATCTCAAAACAATTTTCTGCCTTAGCCAAATTTAGGCAGTTTTCCTGTTTTGAGGTAGCCTTTTGATGGGCTTTGAAAGTGATCTTCCAGAGATCCCCTTGAGCTCCACAATATACCAATGTAAAGATATAACTTTACCTTCAAAAAAAGCCCTTGATCTTCCATTTTCATTGAGCCATTTGTGAGATACAAGCTTCCAAAGTAGGCTACCTGAAACTGTTTCAACACTTGGCCAAAAATCAGAATTCTTCAAGTGAGTTGAGATTGACTTCTTTGGCAAGCAATTGTGAATTGTGGATTGATCTAATTGGGATCATATCAGGCTCCCCCTCTTCAAAAAGCTTTGCCCTCAAAGCTTGTTCAGGCCTTTTCTCAAAATCGCCACAAAATAGATCACAAATTGGATCGAAAGAGGACTGTCCAAACACGCTTTTCGGCAAAAACATTTGAACTTCAAATTCCTCTCCAGCCCGTAAATTGGCTTCTGCTCTCCACGATTTGTGCTTCATTAGATTCATAGGGCTCCAATAGACCTTTCCCACGCAATCAGTGTGCTTGAGTACATCCAGAATCGTAGTTAGCCGTTTTCCAGAATGCAGCGGACATTTTGCAGATTCCAGCGAACCCGAGGTTTCCGGCGAGCTCATCCAAATTGGGCTCAAAACCTCTCCAATCGAATTTGTTGCTCCCAATCGACTCATCTCGATCACACAAATTGAATGCAGCTACTCCCGTGCGTCGGAATTGAGCAAACCGTCTCCAATTAAACTTCCCGTGTTTCCCGCCGTTGTGAAATTTGAAATTCCCATATTACGGCGACGAAAACCCAGAATCCGGCGAACAATTTACAGAAATCGGCAACCCCAAAATTAATTCCTGGGTTTTTTATTCCGACTTCTCCGCGACAAATTTTCCAATCACAAACCTTCCTTGGACCTTCCCGAACTTGTTCACATCCTCCAATTAGGTCGAATCAACCCCAATAGCTGCGATCGAACCTTTCTTTTCTTCTTCAACTTTTCGGCCAAAATTTTCCAATTTGGGTGTTTTCGATTGGGACTTCGTCAGAACAAATTGGTGACTCCTCACATTCCATGGACATTAGGGAGTGATTCTGCATTGGCAATTCGGCTCGAATCATGCCCGATCTCTGCAACCAATTGAGGGTAAATTTGGTCGACATTCATCACAAACAGAGGCATTTTTGGACGCATTGATTCTTCTAATTTAAGTATGATCACTTCAAATGGGTGCACGCCTGTCGTTCCTGGGATCGGAGTGAGTGTTTCTACACTTGTGGTTGAGTTCGACTCGTCTTCCAGTGCTCTTCCCCATTGTCTCTCTCTCTCCTTCTTTCTCCATCGTCATCGGCGAACAGAGTTCTAGGCAGCTGGTCGAAGGGGAATTTTGATCTTCATCAGCCCGATCTGGAGCTTCTCCTTGAATTATTTCCATTCCTTCAACCTCAAGGGAACCTTCTGAAGACTCTTCGTGCTTCGATTCTCCCTCATCGTAGTTGACAAGGCTGCTGGTTTCGCAACTCTTTTTACACGGGAAGAGTCGGGTTTGTTGTAGGCTGCAGGTTCGAGCTCTGGAAGGGCCTCCTGAAGCTTGCGTAAGCTCATAAAATTGAATCCAAGACGTCCCTGAACCCACAATTGCGCTCGATCGCCCTTTCCTTCGTTCCTCCTCTCCTCCATTGTCTTGAGATCGGCATAAACCTCGTCGGGGGACATAGGCTTCAATTTGATCTTCTTTCCATCGTGTTTGAGGGTGTACGAATTCTCCGAACCATCATGGATCACCCTTCTATCTAATTGCCAAGGTCTACCCAGCAAAATATCGGCCTTTTGCATGGGAACAACATCACAAAGCACACAATTCGAATACTTACCCAGGCTAAACTCGATTTGCACTTGTTTGTTGACCTTGAAGTCTCCATGCTCGTAGAGCCAGGTGAGATGATAAGGCTTAGGTGCTTCTGGGTATTCAATTCCAATTTTTGCACGGCATAAGCACTAATCAAATTAGCACAACTCCCTCCATCGATTACATACGAAAGAATTTGGCCGTTAACGTAACACCGGCTGTGAAAAAGGTTGTCCCGCTGCTCGTTGGACTCTCTATGCATGATTAAGATGGCTGGCTGCTTCTTTTGGCCACAATTTTGCAGCTTAGTTGACTCTGCATTGCTCTCCACCATCTTGTTGCCTAGAAATGAAAATTCAAGCATAAACAGCGGCTGCAAAGCACAAATAGGGGATGCCCTATTTTGAAACTCTAGAAATCTGCTTGTACGAAACAGTGGTTCTTCTTCTCCTTCGCCCTCGTGTAGAACCGGGCTCTGATACCACTTAATACGCCCCGGGGGGGTGTATGTTATCAAAGTCACTTAGCAACACGATCAATCCGAAGATTGATTGAACTCGAACCAAGAACAACGCATTCTTAATACGAATTGGATAAAACGGAAACGAAAGGGAATTCTTACACCTGGAAGAATGCACAATCGTTATGGTGAAGCTTTCGATATAATCGAGTGTGATTTCTCGATCAATAAGCAGGTCAGCAAGTTTTGATCGCAACCAAAACCCAAGAACAAGTTCGCAAACTTGAACAAACCAAACAATTCCTTTTCTACTAATCAACTCTTATGTTTTTACAACGAAAACTAGAAGGTATTTAAAGGCAAATAAAACCTAAAACAACCCTACATGAACAAAGAAACTAATTAGAACAGGAAAAGGCTAAAGAATTCGTGTAAAACGAGATAATTTACAAGCCAAGAAACTGACTTAAAACACAAACAAGTCTGCCTATGAAAATAGGCTTCATAGCATTTTTGAGCCCTTCGAAAATGGTCTTGTTGGTCGATTCTAACCCAACCAATCCATTTCCTTTGTAGAAATAAACTTCCTCTTTCACCTCCAACTTGAATCAGCCCGAGATCATGCTCCAATCTCCAGATTTAGGCTTTCAAAGATGGTATCTCAAAACAGTTATCTGCCTTCGCCAAATTTAGGCAGTTCTCCTGTTTTGAGGTTTCCTTTTGATGGGCTTTGAAAGTGACCTTACAGACATCCCCTTGAGCTCCACAATATACCAATGTAAATATAAAAACTTTATCTTCAAAAAAAGCCCTTGATCTTCCATTTTCATCGAGCCATTTGTGAGATACAGGCTTCCAAATTAGGCTACCTGAAACTGTTTCAACACTTGGCCAAAAATCAGAATTCTTCAAGTGAGTTGAGATGACTTCTTTGGCAAGGAATTTTGAATTGTGGATTGATCCAATTGGGATCATATCAGTCGATTTTCATAGCAAAAAACATAGTCCTGGAGAGAGAAAGTGTGAAAAACAAACCCTAGAGGTGATTTTGGAGCTGGGTTTCATCAATCAAGCGTGGATTTCATCCTTGGAGTGAAGATTATTATCCCAGAGCAGATCCTTCCCATCTTGATGAGTATGACTACTTTGTATTCTGTTTTCCTCTCTCTCTCTCTATGGAGTAGAACCCTCTCTCACTTGTGTATGAAGTACCCTAATTCGATGTGTTAGGGATATCGATTGTAATGACGTTTGGTTTGTGATACTGTTTCATTGTAATCGATTGAAGTGTTTTGATTGAGTCAATTGAAGTCTGATCATCTTTTCCTGACTTCTCCTGCAACCTGAGCTAAATAGAATCTGATTACAATAAGCACTCAACGTGAGAGGAAGGTTAACCGGGGAACAGAAGCCCACGGCCGGCAGAGCCCTTTAAGTACCGCAGGACCCTATGTGCAGTGTCAAGGTGATCCTGTGTAGGAGCTTGCATTGCCTGATTGAGAAGATTAACCGCATAGGTGATATTCGGACGAGTGACTGTGAGATAGAGTAGACGACCAACTAGGCGGCGGAAGGCTGCTAGATCAGGTGCAGGAGGAGATGTTGTGCGGCCCAATCGATGATTATGTTCAATGGGCGAGGAAGAAGGGCGTGTGGCCTAAAAACCAGTGTAAGCTATAATGTCTAACATGTACTTGCGCTGGTTGAGAATGATGCCCTTTTTAGATCGAGCAACTTCAATCCCAATAAAATATTTCAAAGGACCAAGATCTTAGATGGTGAACCAATCATGGAGGAACTTCTTGACAGACTGAATGAAGACCATATCATCCCCAGCAAGAATGACATCGTCGACGTAGATGAGAGCCATGACAAAGGAACCAGTCGTGCGATATATGAAGAGTGAGTGGTCGACATGACTCTGACGAAAACCCAGTTCAAGAAGAGCAGCGGAGAACTTGTGATACCAATTCCTGGAAGCCTGCTTGAGCCCATAGATAGATTTGGGGAGTCGAAAGAAACGAGTATCCACAGGCTATGCGAACCCCTGCGGAACTTTCATATAGACTTCCTCGTCTAAGTCGCCATGAAGGAAGGCGTTGTTGACATCGAGTTGATGGATGAACCAACCCTTCGTGACCGCAACTGCAAGGAGACAACGAATGGTGACCAGCTTAGCTACAGGAGTAAAAGTATCATGATAGTCAATACCTTCAACCTGGGTGTACCCCTTTGCCACGAGACGCCCCTTATATCGCTCGATGGAACCATCAGGTAGATACTTGATTTTATATACCCATTTGAAGTCAATGTTATGTTTGCTTGGAGGCAAGAAAGACAACGTCCAAGTGCCACTCAACTAAGGCATTGAACTAAGTAACCATGGCCTTGCCCAATGAAGGTGGAGGACTACTTGAAAGAAATCTTTTGGCTCCGTGACGAGAGAGACACTGGTAATGAAAGGCCGATGAGAAGAGGAGAGCCAATGATGGGAGACAAAATTAGCCATGGGATACCGGACATGGTCTCTGAATCGCCGGGAAGATCGACGTCGTAGTCATAAAGATGTGTCGGTGGACGCCGTACCCTATCACGTGCCAAGGTGGAGGGACCTGCTTGGTGGCTGCCGGTGGCGAAAGAGCATCAATTAGTGAAGGAGAAAGACTAGACGCTGGGTTGCTGGTGTCCGTGAGAGGGAATGATGCATCCCCATCCGGTGAGGGGATAGACGCAACCGGTGATGAAGGAGTAGGAGGTATAATCGTGAGAGCTGTGAACTTCTCCACTATAGGAGTGACAGCATCGGCAGTCTTGGGAGTAGGGTTGCAAATGAGCCGAGCTACTCGTGAGCAACTCGAGGCTCAAATCGAGAAAAACTCGTTTGAAACTTGACTCTTTTACTAACGAGCCAAGGTTGAGCTTAGCTATGTTCAGCTCGCGAACTCGCGAGCTAGCTCGACTCGGTGGCTTGTTGAGCTCAACTCGTGAGTTGGCTCATTTAGAGCTCATGAGATGTCTCAACATTGTGGTTTGAAGGCCAACTTGATCACCGACTTATGGACGAATCGATCTAATTTTCACTTTCATAATTTAGAAAATATGCCTTATTTTTAATTCTATAAAGAAATTATGTACAAAATTGTTTCGATACTATGACATAACATGATTTGAACTAGTTAAAATTATTAACTATACAATATGACACCTAAAAATTATAATATACGATTAATTAATGTTGAATATTTGAATTTTTTTTTTTTTGTCGTTACACCAATCACATGTACCATACACGACATACAAAATGAATGGATTAAATACGATCTAAGAATTAGTAAACAAGCCTAGCTCGAACTCGACTCGTTAATAAATGGCTCGAGCTCGAGCTCAGCTCATTTGTTAACGAGTCAAGCTCAAGTTGGGGTAAAACTCGGCTTAGCTCGGCTCATTTGCAGCCCTACTTAGGAGTGTCGGGGCTGTCATCTGAAGGCGAGGTTGACGGCATCAACGCTTGCTGGAACTGGAGTAGGAGGGGATGAAAAATCATCCATGATGTGCACAGGAGTGAGAGGATCATGGGTAGAGGACTCCATGGGTGACACTGCCCCCTCAAACACGTGCGGGTCTCTATACGGGAATAAATGTTCGACGAATACGACGTCATGAGATGTATAGACTTTTTGTTTCTCAAGATCAAAGATACGATAACCTCGCTGCATAGCAGGCAGCCCGCAAAGATTCCCAGGCGACCACGCGCTTCGAATTTGTGGAGGTTACGATGATTATTCTTGGCATAGACTAGACAACCCAATCTCCGGAGGTGTTCATACTTGGGAAGAGTACCAAGAAGAATCTGATACGGGGTCTGATGCTGGATAGGGACAAGTGGCAATCTATTGATGAGATATGTCGCGGTGAGAATGCATTCACCCCAGAAACGAAGTTGAAGACCGGCATGGAAACATAAGGCGCGAGCAGTGTCATGTAGGTGAGAACGCAACTTCAGATTTGTTCCGCAGTAAGAAAACCCATACAGCACGACTAAAATAATCGACAATCGTAAAAAAAAATAATGAGCATGCCATTGGATGTAAGGATGTAAGGCTAACAACTTGGTCCCAGATGGATGCCCGAAGCGAGAATGCCAAAGTGCTGATTCCCCCAAAGCATGTCGCGCAGAGTATGCCATTGGATGACTCCGTTCGAAAACCTTCAACTGGTAAAGACCATCACTCTGAATCCCCATGCCAATCATCTTCCTCGAGGTTAAGTCCTAGATAACACAGAAATCGCTTAAGAAATTCACTGCCACTGGATGATCAGCAGTGAGACGACTGACAGATGACAAGTTGCAATAAAAATCTGATACGTGCAAGACCCAATTCAAAACCAATCTGTTTTGTAACTGTGCCATGCCAATATTACGAACAGGAACCCCATTACACTTGAGAATTCGTGATATGATCCCAATTGGATCAATCCACAATGTAGACACCACATTTTGTCCAGATCGATACTTATTGTCACTTTTAAACTTATGAAGCTATCTCTCAGCAGTTGAATAAGGATTGTTCATGTTGTACGAGAATACGATCTTCAGTTCAAGTTTAATACAAGATGAAGCATTCAAGGTCAATGCACAAGAGGGTCAATGCATGAGGAAAGTACAAGATCATATAATTGAAGAATTTAAAGGTCAGTACAGTCATCGACACCATTACAAAAGTTTGTACACTCCTAATTAGTCAACCGAGTTTCCATATTCAAAGCTGAGAAGCAAAAGTCCAATACGTTTGAAAAACCCACACCAGCAGCCTGCAAAGCAAAGAAGAGGGATCAACTAATTCAGGCCCAAATACAGATGTAAAGCTCAAGTAAAGACTCAATTCCAAGAAGCATAAAACTAGATCCATGATCTGATCCAAGGTCGGCCCAAAAAGCCCAAGGGAACAAATTCAGATGTTGATTTGGCCCAACTCGGCCCAAAGCAAAGGGCCAATCTTATCCACCCTAACCAGTCAGAAGTCAGAACCGGCCAAGCAAGGTAGACGTCTCTCAATCTTATCCACCCCTGATCAGTCAGAAGTCAGAACCGGCCAAGCAAGGTGGACGTCACTCAATTGGCCTCAAAACTCTACCAATCAGAAATAAGCACGCTAGTTTCAGCCTTAGCAACAACAAATGATCATGTGACACGTGGGAGATAATTTTGCTATAATAGAGCTCTTTGGGCTCTTTGTTTGGGACGGCTTTTGAGAGGGGGGGGGGGAGAAAAAAAGATAGAGCACAATTTAGAGAGTGAAATGTTCATCTTTTTTTGGGAAGATCGGAGCAAGATCAGCTTTGCTTTTAGTTACAAGAGTGTTATGCACTCAAAGAATAACAAAGATCAGGCTACTTGAATCTAAGGTTGGTGATTTGTACCTTGTATCTCTATTTTGATAATAACAAATGTCTTTCTTTGTTCATCTCTGTGCTGCTATCCTTTTAGTGAATATTGCCTACCTTCATTAATTTATTGTCGTTCATCGAGCTTACAATTTCCAACATGGCAACATATATATATATATATATATATTTAAGTACAAGATGCATAGACTCCATACTGTATATATGATTTTGCACTTCGTTTATTTGTTTGCGGAGTATGATCCCTATTTACTTATCGCTATTTAAGAGTTATAATTTCAATTCCGTTACAATTTTCGACCGAGTTCCTTTCTGATAGGCCATTTATCGTTTAGATTTCGCCATATTAAAGGGCTTTTGTTTTCCTTCGAGTACATAAGTAATAAAAGCTTTACATCCGTGCATACAAAAGATAACTATTGACATACCAAAACATACTTAACTCTTCCCTTTTTTCCTAGTTTGGAGTCGGAAATCTGTTTTGGATCCTCGGATCCAAAATACTTGATCTAGATCTAGCTCCAATAAATCACCATACAGGATATATCTTATTTTTATAAACTCTAATCAGCTTTCCAAATTAATAATTCACAAAAATCCCTATCAAACCAATTATAATAAGATTAGGGGAAATTTAGTTCCTTTCAGCTTAGTGATAGCAAGCAGTGGCGGCAATCACTAATCAGCTAGTTATTTTTTAAACTGCCTTTGTTTTTATGAAATTAATTACCGTAATAAGAGCCTAAAAATAAAAATACCGAAAAATATCCATATTTCCCTAACTTTCAGACCAGTAAACAAACCATAACCCCACGATAATACCATCTTTCAGTTAATTCAGCCTTTCTTAATTCATGCTAAATAAATTGGGTTTAGGGAACCTCACCGAGCGGATTTCTCATCCGAAACTGCCATAAAGAATAATAAAGTTTTGAATTAGATTTAAGTGTTATATTACTAAATAAAAATGACAGATTAATGTTAATTTAGGAGTCAAAATATTACCTTTCATTTTGAGAGAAGGTTGTCGCCACCAGGGTCTCGCCGCCGACCAAAACCAAAACAAAAAAAAAATCAGAGTCTCATTTTTTTTTACTAAAAGAAGTTAAAGGAAGACTCGGCGAACTAATAAAAACACCGTACCTAGGTCGCGTCGCCATCGACGGAACAATCCCGTCGCCGGCAGTTTCGGTCCCTTTTCATCTCCCCTCGATCAAATCCCAGAAACCAAAACCCGAAAAAATCCAGATTAGAACTGTAAGAGTATGGTATAACATCCAGCAGAACCTTCTCCCAACAACTCGAGTTATTGGGAGCAACTGGTTCTTGACATCGTATCAAAGCCTTCTGTGACCAAGAGGTCTTGTGTTTGATTCCCAGTGACACCCCCATTTGTTAAGCACATGGTATTCTTGTCTTCAGACATGTGCAAACTTCAAGCCCTTGTGGCTTTCGTTTGAGGGGGCGTGTTAGTATTGTGATATATGATCCACAATTGAATCTTTCCCAACAACTTTGATACCATGTCAATAACCAGTTGAACCCAATAACTCGAGTTGTTGGGAAAGATTCAATCGTGGATCATATATCACAATACTAACACGCCCCCTCAAACGAAAGCCACAAGGGCTTGAAGTTTGCACATGTCTGAAGACAAGAATACCATGTGCTTAACAAATGGGGGTGTCACTGGGAATCAAACACAAGACCTCTTGGTCAGTCACAGAAGGCTTTGATACGATGTCAAGAACCAGTTGCTCCCAATAACTCGAGTTGTTGGGAGAAAGTTCTGCTGGATGTTATACCATACTCTTACACGCCCCCTGCTGGATGTTATACCATACTCTTACACGCCCCCTCAAACGAAAGCCAACTCATGGGCTTGAAGTTTGCACAGGCCCACCATACCTTGTGCTTTAATAAACTGTTAATATTGGATGTCGTGGAGATTCGAACACATGACCTTTCAGTTCTAGGCTATGATACCATGTCAAGAACCAGTTGCTCCCAATAACTCGAATTGTTGGGAGAAGGTTCTGCTGGATCTTATATCATACTCTTACACGCCCCCTCAAACGAAAGCCAACTCATGGGCTTGATGTTTGCACAGGCCCACCATACCTTGTGCTTTAATAAACTGTTAATATTGGATGTCGTGGAGATTCGAACACATGACCTTTCACTTCTAGGCTCTGATACCATGTCAAGAACCAGTTGCTCCCAATAACTCGAGTTGTTGGGAGAAGGTTCTGCTGGATGTTATACCATACTCTTACAAGAATCGCATTCTATGAGGAAAATTAGATCTAAGCCTGCATGTTTAGGAGAAGCTCACCGAAGAGAGATTGAGAGTAGTAGAAGGTAGATCGACAAGCCCCCCACCTCGGTTTGGGTTGATTTCTCCTGAAATGAAAAAGAAAACGAAAAGAAACTTAGTAGAATCCAATTGAAAATCAGAAAATAGAAAGAAAAAGGCCATGCATGTCTTGATCTTACCTATATCGAAACCTTCTAGGCTGATTTAACTAGACACGAGCGATTCCATTGGCCAGCCAAGAAAAGGAGAAGACGGCGGCACAGAGGAGAGGGCTAGGTCGTCGGTTTCCCTTTCTTGGATTAGAAAGGGTGAACGCGAGACGAGAGAGAAGAGGAGAGAGTGACGGCGGCATTGTGTGACGATTACGCGGCTAGGGTTTCGTTTTTTTGGAAGAGGAGAAGAGAGACGAGAGGAAGAATTGAGAAACCAGGCGACGAATTGATTCGATTAGGGTTTCTCGAGCCTTTTCTGGGAGAGGAGACGAGGGAGAGTTGAGAGCGAGCGAGTTAGAGAGAGAGGCGGCAACCGCTTGGCCTTAGGGTTAGGGATTAGGTTTTTTTTTTCCTTGGAGGTCATTTATACCTCTTCCATCTAAATGACCATATTACCCTTAGGGTTTCATGGAATTTACGCGGCCCTACCACCGCGTTTTTGGGAATTTACAAAATTGCCCTTCCCCCTTCTCTGCACTAAAAAGAAAAATCACAAAAAAATTGAAATCAACTAGTTTCAAACCCAGGTCTCGGGGTCGAACGCGCTTTAAGACTAGCGCCTTAGCCAATTGGGCTACTGGCCCATCATGCGTAAACTTAATCAGCTTGTTTAATTTTATTCGTTTAAATCTTTAATACGAAATGTATAATTGCGGATTAATTTATCTCCTTTCTTTTCTAATACGTCAAAATACTCCTTAATTTATCTCACTTCCCCACATGTAATCGTACTCCCAAACCCAAATCTCTTAACCGCAGACCATATCTCGATTTTGACCCTAAGGTTAGAGCCAATTCGAAGAGTGTTCGATCAACTCCAAGTAAGATCGATGGCGACTCCCAAAAATGTCGACTCGATGACGGACCCCCGGAGGGACGGTTGCGACACACAATTCACAATTGCTTGCTAAAGAAGTCATCTCAACTCACTTGAAGAATTCTGATTTTTGGCTAAGTGTTGAAACAGTTTAAAGTAGCCCACTTTGGAAGCTTGTATCTCACAAATGGCTCGATGAAAATGGAAAATGAAGGGCTTGTTTTGAAGATAAAGTTTTTATCTTTACATGGTATATTGTGGAGCTCAATGGGATGTCTGGAAGGTCACTTTCAAAGCCCATCAAAAGGCTACCTCAAAATAGGAAAACTGTCTAAATTTGGCCAAGGCAAAAAACTGTTTTGAAATACCAACGTTGAAGGCCTATATCTAGAGATTGGAGCATGATCTCGGTCTAATTCAAGTTGGAGGTGAAAGAGGAAGTTTTCTTCTACAAAGGAAAGGGATAGGTTGAGTTTGAATCAACCTACAAAACCATTTTCGAAGGGCACAAAGATGCTAAGAAGCCTGTTTTCCTAGGCAGACTTGTTTGTGTTTTAAGTCAGTTTCTTGGCTTGCAAGTTATCTTGCTTTACACAAATTCTTTAGCCTTTTCCTATTCTAATTAGTTTCCTTGTTCATGTAGGGTTCTATTTGGTTTTATTTGCCTTTAAATACCTTCTAGTTTTTGTTGTAAAAACATAAGAGTTTATGAATCCAAAAGAAACCGTTTGGTTTGTTCAAGATTGCGAACTTGTTCTTGGGTTTTGGTTGCGCTCAAAACTTGCTGACCTGCTTATTGATCGAGAAATCACACTCGATTATATCGAAAGCTTCACCATAACGATTGTGCATTTTTCCAGTTGTAAGAATTCCCGTTCGTTCCCGTTTTATCCAATTTTCGTATTAAGAACGCGTTGTTCTTGGTTCGAGTTCAATCAATCTTCGGATTGATCGTGTTGCTGCGTGACTTTGATAACATACACCCCCCCGGGGCGTATTAATTCAACCTGAAAATAGGAGTTTTTCTCGAACTCACTAACAAATAAGGAATCATTCGTAACTATATGTTAATTACAACCCGAATCGATAATCCACGAGTCGGAAGAGGAAGAGACATTACCTGACATGTTGACTGCCATCCCGCCTGATGGTTTTGTGGTGGAATCCCTGTTGAGAAACGCCCGAAGTTGGGCGAGTTGTACTGGGTTCAAGCCGGGAACGGTGCTGCTAGCTTCACTTTCAATAGCAGCAGCTTTAGCGTCAGAACGAGATGACTTGGAAGGGCGACGTTTGGACTTGTCACCCGATTTACCACCCCCATGTGACGACGAACGTTGCGGATAGCCAATGAGCTCATAACATGTAGCCTTGAAGTGCCCAGGCTTTTCGCAGTGAGGGACGACCTTCAGAAGTGCGAGGCTCACTAGTAAGCACATCACCCTTCCCTTGGTCGCTATAGCCGCGTTACTAATTCCTAGCGCAACCAAAACGCTAATTGGTAGCCAAAAGGAGAGCTACCTCGACCAATTTTGCAAATGATAAAAATCTTGATTCTTCGTTACCATATTTATTTGGTTGTTATAGTTCGAAATATTGTTTCAGAATTTTAGGTTATTGATCGCCACAAATACTAATGACAACCAGTTCATGTGACTTTTAGTAACCAATTACTTTTGGATGCAAAATAAAATTTATTAAAGTGTTAATGGAGACCAACAAATTTGGTCGTGAAATTAACATACGTCGACCAATAGTATCATTATGAAGACCAATTATATTGGTTATCAAATTTTAACACAACCATGAAATTTGGTTGTAAATAATACATATTCCAACCAATTATATCATTTTAGACAACTAATTATTTTTGTTATAAAAGTCTAACACAACCATAAAATTTGCTCGTGAAAAATACATACCAAGACCAATTAAATCATTTTAGACAACTAATTATTTTAGTTATATAAGGTTAACACCACCATAAAGTTTGGTCACAAATATACATATGCCTACCAATCATATCCTTGACCACTAATTCTTTTGGTTATGAAAGTCTGAAAACACCCACAAAATTTGGTTGTGCAACACATAAGCCAACCAAATAAACCATTTCATAACCCCAATTTAGTACATGAAATTTTGGTCATTAAAAGTACACCCTGATCAACTTAATTGAAAAATAAATTAAATTATAGTACATTATTGTTTCATTTGGGTACTCGTATAACAAAATTATTTAGTAACAAAAAATCATCATTATGTCATCCCTAAGAATAGCTCACTATTTCATAAAATTACATCTCCAAATATCCAAGCAACCACACTCAAAGAACTGTACGATCTATTGGCTTATATGATCTCTAGCTTCCTTGAGCAAATGGTAGACCAGAAAAACTTTTGGTTAAGCAACTGTTTCCCTATTCTCAAGAGCTGTAAATATCATCAGGACATGGTTGATTAGCATCCTATCAACTACTTCATCTAATTTGATAGGGGGGAAAACCACAAAGAACTGCACGATCTTGGAGAATATTTCTTGGTTGAGTATAGGGCTGTCCATTTGGTTTTGGTTTTTTGGTTTTAATCGAAACCAAACCAATTGGAAAGTTAATGGTTTCAGTTTTTTGGTTTTACACCAACAATCAACTTAATGGTTTTGGTTTGGTTAAAACCGAAAAACTAATAGAAACCATTAAGAAATCAATAAGAATAAAATTATTTATCAACAAATATTTTTTTTTTCTTTTGACACGCATGCCAACCAATAATTTGTAATGGCCATTTACCTTTATGTTGACGTTTATTTAATAAAAAGGAGGGAAATAGGAATAAATATGAGTGTATGAGTACATGTTGGTTTTTTGGTTATCCAAACCAAAACCAATAAGGGCCTTAATGGTTTTGGTTTTGGTTTTTGGTTTTTCATACTTAATGATTTGGTTAACCAAACCAAACCAAATTGACAGCCCTAGTTCAGTAGCGAGTTAATTAAGGGAATGTACAATGTAGGTACCTGTTGCCAAGACGGGCTTGGAGATGGATGATCATCTTCTGTTCACGGTTAGTCCTAGGGGTGTACATGGGTCGGGTGGTCCGGGTTTAGCCATTTTAATCATCCGACCCATGCACTACGGTTTGGGAAATATTAAACCCAAACCCACCCAAAAAAATTAAAACCCTACAGTTTGTTTCTAATTGGGTTGGGTCGGGTTGACGATATTTTTAAGTAAAAACCCAACCCAACACAAAATATGTAATTATTCTACACCATAAAAATATTTTATAACTAATTAAAATTTCAAACGAATAAACCGAGGTGAAAGGTATCAAAGTTCACAAATGTTGTTTAAATTTTATTAAAATGTGATTTACGTCAACATATATCTAGTTTTAATTTTTTTCACGACATTTGTTGAAATAGGATAAAAATGTTATAAATGAACGCCTCCATAATATATAATTCTATTAAAATCGTACACAAGAAAAATGATTACGTGAATCATAGCTATATTAAATCTGTGTCTAAACTTTAACCCGAAAAATGCATTAGATTAGTGAGAGCATGAGAGAAAAATATGGCGAAATATCTTAATTTTCTAATAAGTATGGTTATATACGACATAAATATTTTTTGGATACGAACTCATATCAATAGTTGGAACACGGGTTGGGTTCTACAGGTTGTGTAATCCAAAACCCAAACCCAACCCAAAAGAGGCGGGTTGTAGAAAAGAAAACCTTCACCCAACCCAAAACCTTAGTTTTAGAGATAAATACGGGTGGGTTGGGTCGGGTTGAACGGATGGGTCAGTTTACGGGTGTGTTTGTTCACCCCCAACTTAGTCCATCGAAGGCGGCAGCTTTTGCTGCATCTCAGCAGCCCTGCAAAAGTTGATGAAAATTAAACGAATTATTCGTGAGATTCTGGTCCAGTTTGATTGTAAATATCTCTTAAGCAACATCAGGTAATGATCCACTTACATAATCCAATTTGGCCCAATGCTTCATGTGCATATTCACACTCATTAGAGTCCAGGCTTCTGACAGAAGGCTCCCTTCACTAGCCAAAATAAGGGATTCCACACCTGACTGAAGATGCAAAGGTATGTTAAAAGAAAGAGAAAAAAAACATTTTCAGAAAAGCCTACTTTAATATTTAATTCAGTGCTCAAACACATGCACACCCAAAGGACATGCAGACACATATTGATGGCATCAGGAGATATCGGACATATAACCTTCCAAAGAGGGCTCGTTGCGGGTAACATTTTGCAAATAAAGTTGGACAATAGATATGCTGTAGCTAGAGATTTTCTGGCGGTATCAAGAGTTCAAAAATTAGGGGAAGGTCTTACCAGATTCATCTCTGAACTTGAATGCATCATCCACTTCCCCGATGACTCTCCCTCTTCTATGACTACGAGTAAGTAAATTGAATAAGAGTTATGTCCCATGCTCAACTTCAGGCAACTGTTTATCCCAAAGAGAAAACTAAATTAGTGGAAGAAACTAACAAACGGAAGACACATTAATGAAACAATTAACAAATGGAAGAAGTTAAAAGTGTACATGTTGTCCAGTAGCTTCAATGACAATGGCAATCAGTAAAAGACCCTAACAGTTACAATTACCTCATCAAAGAGTTCTAAAACACTCATAGTTACAAGCATGTCATTTGTATTGTTCATTTCCGCCTCCAATAAGCCAAGATTGGAGCTGTAAACTGCTGAAGCCACGCTGGGAGCAACAAGAAATAGCTAAACTATCTAAGACAAAACTCGGCAGCCCTGAAAAGGTGATTACACAAGGTTAAAGACCTTTTGAAGAGCATTTTGATGCCTGTTTCTATCTGGTGACACAAATAACTACTAACATGAAATGAGGGGCATAAAGTCCTATCTCCTTAATTCACTAACCGAAAAAATGGACAGCAAATTACCCAGTACCTACTACAGCAGCAGTTACTAGAACCCCCTTTTCATATTCCATCTGCCCGGCCTAGAATTACCATCGCGAGGAAGACAGGCAAAAGAACAGAACTTAAGCATCTTATCTAGAGCAATGACTAGGTTGATGTATACTTAGTGATTATAACCAGTTGGACATATGCATTACCTTATCCATAGCTATTGAAGTTGTTAAGCCTGAACAACAACAAAAGAGAAGTATAACATTTAGCACATTTAGAGTGGCAAAAACAGCACAGGAATGGCTTTGTGTAAACTGAAAACTCACACAAGCTGGACATTTGCCAAGTTGCCTATGCTTGGTGATAGACTACCAGACCAACTTTGGTTTGGAGCTCCTACGCAACACAAAAAAGAGATACTAGGTGAACAAAGATTCTTGTAATTATTGATGAAATGATCTGTCCTTTGTTTGAAAAAGCGCAAATTAAGAGCCTTCAGCTAATTCTCACAGTACATCACAAGAATGGTGGCTAAGGTAGTGATGATTATACAGAGCACAGAGCAGAAGAACAAAAGAATCTTAAACCCCTAATCCTTACTATTTGAGGAATTTCACCGAACACATTGCGTACATGTCATGACCGTTGACCGATCAGTTGCATTCCACAAACATCACATATAAGCGGATATCAAATAAAGCAAACAAATCTGCAATTGTATGAAGTATTACTACCTCAGGAGAAGAGCAATATAATCAAACCAACCTTGAAATACTATAATCATTATGAGTCCATACAATAAGTTAGTTCCAAATGAAGTTTGTCAGGCTGCAAAATTTTACTATTTGGAAGTTCTTCTGGTACTTATACATTATCTCTTGCCCCGAGAGCTTATCATAGGTTACATCTAGTCTTGGGTTCACACCAGCAAGTTTTACTCACAAGAACTATAGAAAAGAAATAAACAGAATAAATTCTGACTCCTCAGGGCTAATTGAACGAAATGAATGGCCTAATTTATTAATGTCAGAGTAATTACCTTAACCTGGCGCTGGAGAGACTTAACCTGGCTGCCATTATGTGAAAAACAGGGAACCCCGCATAATTTTAAAGTATAATACCCACAAATAAAGAAACAGAAGATAAAAAGATCTTAAAAGGTATTAATATTGTATAGAAATCATGGTCCTTTTCACCAATGTCAGAGCCACTTCTGGTGTAGAGATCAAGATCTTCTCCATCGTTCAATTCATTCCCTGTTTGATGTTCCAGTTGCATTCCTTTGCAGCTTCACCTCACCTCACCTCAACCACTATAACTTATTAGATTTAATCCAGAAGACAAGATCTACATTCCCTATCAATTTCTAGAAACAGAAGCTACTTTCAATGGACTGACTATGTAGCCCTGGTTGAAAGCTTCAAGTATCAATAATTATGTTCACCTAGTGCTACAATCAAGAGATAACACCAAACACGGGCCAACTAGAGCAAAGAACAAAGAAGTTAAATATTTAGAAACTAAAAACCCCTAATCTAATTTCTAGGGCGCCTGCTGAAGCACCAAGATGACCTCCTCGAACTCATTTTCCTTTAAAGCATTTGTTATGCAGAAAAATCACAATCATCAACAATCACACCAAAGCATCACAAGTAAGTAAGAATCAGAACATTGACCGCAATAGAGAACTGATACGTTCTTACTTGACGCAAGCACCGATTCCCTGCGGAGAAGGAATTTGCCAGAGCTGAGGCAAGATTATTTTCGATCAATTCCCCTGCCACAATAGCTTCCAAAACCCTAGCTCAACAAAGAGAGAGATCAGAGATACCAAGGAGAAGGCCTCACAATTCCGAGCCGGCGATAGTGCTCGCGATCAAAATCGCAGCAGCGCTGGCGAGGGATTGGACTCCATGGCTAGGGATTGGAGTGACGCTCGTGCTCCAACGTATTCTTCTAATTCTGCACGTATTATCAAATACGAATCCGTCGCGAGTAAGTAATAACTCGTTGTGAGGTTTTTCCCGCCAAAGCTGGTTCCACAAGAATCTGACAACGTTATTAGATGACGTGGCATTTTTTGATTCGACGAACACGCTAGCCTACACAATTTAAATCAGCTTAAGAAACTAAATCCCACTGCTACTATAAATATACGTCCTCTGGGACATAACGTCAGAAATAAACAGAGCAAAAGAAAGAACAGTGCAAAATCAAGCAATCAAATTCTTTCCGGTGAAAGCAATAATGGCGGTCAAGACCAGCAATCTCGCACTCATCCTTCTCATTGTGTCAGGTAAACACTAAAACCACCTAATTTGTTCTTCTTCTTCTTCTTCTGCCGCTGTTTTCTTTTGTTCGGTTCTAATCAGAAACTAAAAATCCTTGCTCTGTTTCTCTTTGTTGTTTTACAGCTTTCCTTCTGGCACCATCAGCAGCCGCGGCAGCGGACGGAGAAGGGACTCCGAAGCTCGGGACGGTGATCGGAATCGACCTAGGAACAACCTACTCGTGTGTGGCCGTATCGAGAAACGGCCACGTGGAGATCATCGCCAACGACCAAGGCAACCGGATCACACCCTCGTGGGTCGGGTTCACGGACTCGGAGCGCCTCATCGGCGAGGCCGCCAAGAATCAGGCACCTCAGAATCCAGAACGCACCATCTTCGACGCCAAACGCCTCATCGGAAGAAGGTAATCAAGTTACAGATTAACAAATCTGAAATCACTGCATCCTGAAAATTCATCCCACTGCAACTCTGTGTTCTAGAGAAAGTGTGTTTGAAATTGAAATTCAACTTTCTTTCTTTCTTACAGGTTTGATGATCCGGAGGTTCAGAAGGATTTGAAATTACTCCCTTACAGAGTTGTGAACAAGAACGGGAAGCCGTACGTTGAAGTGAGAAAAGACGGAGAGACCAAAACATTTAGCCCCGAGGAAATTAGCGCCATGGTGTTGACCAAGATGAAGGAGACGGCTGAATCTTTCCTGGGAGAGAAGGTTAAACACGCAGTCATCACCGTTCCAGGTAAGTAACTATCGTTTAAACTTGTGAATGAGGGGCTAACAATTTAAGCTCGAGGAATTTGAAGCGGAGGCTTATCAATTTCAATTTCGGTTACAAAATTTTACATGTAAATTTATCAACGCCATGATTTGTACATGCCAATTTGTAGCTTACTTCAACGACGCGCAGAGACAAGCGACCAAGGATGCAGGGACAATAGCAGGGCTGAACGTGGTCCGAATCATCAACGAGCCGACCGCGGCGGCGATCGCCTACGGGCTGGACCAGAAGGGGAAAGAGAAGAACATCCTGGTCTTCGACCTCGGCGGCGGGACATTCGACGTCAGCATCCTGACCATCGACAATGGAGTCTTCGAGGTGCTGGCGACCAGCGGCGACACTCATTTAGGAGGGGAAGATTTCGACCACAGAGTAATGGACTACTTCATCAAGCTGATCCAGAGGAAGTACGGGAAAGACATTAGCAAGGACAACAAGGCCCTGGGGAAGCTGCGGAGGGAGTGCGAGCGAGCCAAGAGGGCGCTGAGCAGCCAGCACCAGGTCCGAGTCGAGATCGAGTCGCTGTTCGACGGGGTCGATTTCTCCGAGCCCCTGACCAGGGCGAAGTTCGAGGAGATGAACATGGACCTGTTCAAGAAGACATTGAGGCCCGTGAAGAAGGCGATGGAGGATGCGAGGCTGAAGAAGTCGGAGATCGACGAGATCGTGCTCGTCGGAGGGAGCACTCGGATTCCCAAGGTTAGGGAGCTGCTCAAGGAGATGTTTGATGGCAAGGAGCCGAACCAAGGTGTGAATCCTGATGAAGCTGTAGCTTATGGCGCGGCGGTCCAAGGTGGCAACCTCGGCGGAGATCAAGCCAACACTCGAGGTAATTAATTAGTCCGCGACATATATATATAACTCGTACTAATAATACTGCTCGTATTACTCATACTCTAACGATTGTTTATCTTTTGCCCATTGCAGACATACTTCTAATTGATCTAACTCCCCTGAGTCTGGGTATTGAAACTGTTGGTGGAGTTATGACTAAATTGATCCCAAGGAACACTGCCATTCCCGCTAAGAAGTCACAAGTGTTCAGCACATACCAAGACCAACAAACAACCGTATCGATCAAGGTGTACCAAGGAGAAAGAGCCCTGACGAAGGACTGCAAGGAGCTAGGCCAATTCGACCTCTCCGGCATCCCACCCGCACCAAGAGGCGTGCCCCAGATCGAAGTGACGTTCGAAGTGGATGTGAACGGGATCCTGAGCGTGACAGCTGAAGACAAGGCGGCGAAGAAGTCGCAATCGCTGACGATCACGAACCACAAGGGGACATTGAGCCAGGAGGAGATAGAGATGAAGGTGAAGGAGGCCGAAGAGATGGAGGAAGAGGACAGGATGTTAAAGGAGAGGATCGACTCGAGGAACAAGCTGGAGAGCTATGTGTACAACATGAAGAGCACGGTTGGTGACGGAAATGGCGTGGGAGGGAAGATTGGGGAGGAAGAGAAGGGGAAGGTGGAGAGGGTTTTGAAGGAAGCATTGGAGTGGTTGGATGAGAATGAAAGGGTGGCTGGGAAGGATGATTATGATGAGAAGTTGAAGGAAGTTGAGGATGTGTGTAATCCGGTGATTAAGGGAGTTTATGAACAGCAGCAGCAGAGTGGAAGGAGTGATGGTGAAGAAGATGATGAAGAGGGTTCTTATGACGAGCTATAGGCTAACAGACTGTCTGTCATGGTTAATGGATTATAAAGATTATTCTATGTAGTTTACTTCTTTGGGTTATAGGTTTTGAGTTTGAATGTTGATTACTTTATTTGACTGGGATTAAGGTGTAAAATAGATCTTGCTTCGTTTTTTATTTAGTAAGTTTTATATATTTGATTACAAATGAAAATGGTGCATTATACTGACTAGACGATGATTCATACGCTGGTAAACAGTCCATGATTGAACAAGAAGCAAATCATATGAGAAGAGGTAGAAACTGACTCAAAAGAACTGGCTACGATTCTGTTGATGGTGGGTCTGCAATAACATTGATCCTGATCAGATACATCACTCTAACTCGGTTTCAGGAGGCCTGGTTTTGTTTGCATGACTCTCCTTAATCCACAAATTACATGTAGAAGACAAGCAACCCTACTACTTCTTGGCAAAACTGATGGCCATTGGGTTTTGAGGAGTGATTTTGAACCCTTGAAGTGCCTGCATGGCCATGGATGACTGGACGTCGTCTTCGAATTCAAAGAATGCAATGCCAGGCTTAGCTTCCACCATCTGGACTTCCTTGAACCCGGGGTACTGATGGAACAAGACATGCAACATCATGCTTGTGGTTCCATGCGGCAGATTCTGAATGAACAGTATGTTGTTTGGTGGAATGGTTTCTTGGTCGCCACCACCACTTGCTGGGCGGAAAGAACTCTGCACATCACAAAGGAGAAAGAATTCATGATCAGATGGCAAATCTGACAAAGGCAATGTATAATTAACAGACTCATGCTTTGGAGGTAAATTTATAAGATTGTGATGGAGAAGTTAATATCCAGAATTACATAAACAAACAGTAGCAGCAGACTTACAGGGCCTCTGTTATTGTCAGCAGCTGAACCATTAGCAGTTGCAGATTGTTGAGCTTCTTCAGCACGCCTCAATTCTGGTTACCAACGGGCACGGCCGAGTTCGTTTCAGCCGGTCGGCGTGCCACTGGTTGTACCTGGTTCAACTTGTACCAGTCATAAAACCGGCGTGACACCACCGGTATGGCCGGCATGATCGATATACGAATCTCTAAGTAAAATAACCTTATTTTAGTGACTTTAATTGTTAAAAATTATTTTATTATTTATTTTATGAGTATAAATGTTAAATATTGATGTTATTTGTTGGATTCAAGTATAAATGTTTAGGTATTGACGTTAAATGTCATGTTTAAAATGAGTATTTATAATTTTATTTGTAATATTGACCGGCATGAACCGGCACAAACTGGTATGTGCCACCGGTCGAACCATTCCACTTGCTAAACCGGCACACTGGCATAACCGGTTTGACAACCTTTTACGACCTCTAATATTAATCAGTGTCTTTAAAACATATGGCATGATGGGTTTGTACAAACGTCAAGCCAATGAGTTGACTTTTGTATGAGGGATGTAAAGAAATTGTTAAGTACCATAAATGGACCTTTCCCAACAACTCAATTTATTAGAACCACAACCGAGAGAAATTCGTATATTCATCTTAATCACTTTCTTACGACTTATAATGTTTTTTTTTTATAGAATGCTAAGGAAGAAGATCTAGATTACATATATCAGCTCAAGTGGCGGATGATCAAGTTTATACGTGGCATAGGAATAAAAAAGAGAGGTTAGCAAGTTTATACGTTGCATATGAATGAAAGAAAATGTGCTACGAGAGCCAATTTGTTGTTAGAAAGTGTGCAACGGTCCGGACCGGTTCATACCGAATCAAACGCATGAGAACTGCGGTTCAATAATGGAAGATATTATAGAGTCAATGATCAGACCATTATTGTATTCAGTTCGATTTGATCTAGTCAAAATGTCAATTCAATTTTTTTATTTGGGTTAATTGCTAGGTTGGTCACTAGGATTACTAAAAACGTTCACGTTTGGTCACTAAAAATATTTAATTCCGTTCGTGGTCACTAAGATTAGTGAAATGTTTCAAATTTGGTCACTCTCCGTCCAACTCCGTTAACTTTGTCTGACGTGGCAGTCAACTTTCAAAGTTGACCGTTAACTGACTGACGTGGTAATTAAAAAATAATAGATTAAATTAAATTTTTTCTTAACAATTTACAACTCATTTCCAACTATTTAAAAAATAAAAATAATAAATTTTATTACAAACCCTAGCCGTCCTCAAAATTTCCCCACCGCCGCCTCTTATTCTCTCTTCTCCTCGCCGCCGCCTGAGACTCTCTAGTCTCTACCTAGCAAAACCAAACCTTCACACCGCCACCCTCGTCTTCGACCACCACCACCGGGGAACATGTTCGGAGCCACCCATCGAAATCAATCGTCGCCGATGTAGCCTCCTCGTTCTTCACACTGAAGCTCTGCAAAAGCCCTCCGCACCCGTCCGGCAGCCGCTTGGCGTCGTCGCCGCGCTCGAACATCATTGTGGCACCGCAACTTTCCGTTCCTGCCCGCAATCCCGCCCACGAGAACCTCCGCCGGAACTCCTCCTCCAATTCCATGCTAAACGCCGCCGCTCCAATCCCCACCCGTCGCAACGAGCTCAAATCACAACCCAACGCGGTCGCGTACTTCACCACCGCGAGGATCACCGGAGGGACGGGACCGTAGGGATGTTGTTGACCCGGTGGGTCTCGATCGATTGGAGCATCAGTTCGAGGTCGAATCGCGGGATCAGGACGGTCTTGATCCCCAATGTGAATAGTCCCAGGGCGAAGAAGGCCAAGCTGTAGATCGAGATGAAGCAGACGAACGTGTCTTCCTCCGCCGACGTCGCCCGGACCAATCACTTCATCATCGCCATTACGTCGATGAAGTTGGAGTGCGTCAGGATCACGCCTTTGTAGGCCCCGTCGTCCCGGACGAGTACATGATAGCTGTCGCCTCTGATTTGAAAATTGAAATCGCCGGATCTGCAAAATCTCGCCGACGCAGCAGTGTCTGTGAAAAAAAATTATTTTTATTTTTATTTTTAAATAGTTGAAAATGAGATAGAGATTCTGAAAAATTAAAATGTATTTATCTTATTATTTTTTAGTTTCCATGTCACACAGTTAACGGTCAACTATAAAAGTTGACTGCCACATGAGCAAAAGTTAACGAAATTGGACGGAGAGTGACTAAACTTGAACCAATTAACTAATTTGAGTGACCAAGATTGGATTTATATATTTCCGGTGACCAAATATGAACGTTTTTTATAATCTCAGTGACCAACTATGCAATTAACCCTTTTTATTTATTTATAAACTTTATGAGACCAAGGATCTCATTATATTCAGTTTGACATGATCCAGTTGAAACATCAATTTGATATTGTCCAGAACAAGAGGTATTAGGTCCAAATCTTAGAAACAACCAAATGTAACCCTATGGATTAGAGGGACTATCAACCACAAAGAGAGTGGTCCAATCTGACAGCGTTGGCCTTAAAGGCTTTGCAGTTTGCACAATTTAGGGACGGAGCGAGCGTGTAAATAGGGGGCCATGACCCTCTAAACTTTGAAAATAGGTAGCAACATATAAATGTGACACATATGTCTTGGTGGCTTGGTGGTTTTGTGACATACCTAATATTTGCTGTTGCCGATAGGTTCGGGATTTGAACTCCCTCTCTGTATTTCATATACATCAAATATTAACGGTATCCTAGAATTTAGGATTCGTTTTTCTTATACATCAAATATTAACGGTATACTAGAATTTAGGAGTCGTTTTTTAATGAGGAATTCTAACTGATTACTTTGACCTAATCGCCAAATTGATCTGTTTGGCATCACAAATTTTATATAAGCAATTCTATCTAGTGAATTTTAAATTGACTCGTTTTGATGCATTTACAATTGTCTGAAGTTGTACTTTTTAACGTTATGGTACAATTTTAAGTTTTACTTTAAAGCACCAATACAACGAGGAATTTTACAATAATTAAAGCATTGGTGGTTTAGTTTTTACCTTTATGGGACAACTTGAAGTTGTACTTCTAAAGTTATGGTACAACTTAAGGTTGTACATATACTCTTTTATAAAATTCTTTTATGGTACAAACTAAAGTTGTACCTTTATGTTGCACCATAACATAAATGTCAAATTCTCTTATGGTACAACTTCAATTTGTACATCTAACGTTATGGTACAACTTAAAATTGTACTTTGAAACACCAATACTTTAAAGCATAGTAAGAGTGCTCAAGGAATGTGATGCTTGTAATAACACAATGGCAGCAGGCGGCTAAGATGCTCAATTGAACCGAGCTGGTGACTGGTTGCTGGTTTTATCGGTCGGACCGACCTGCTCTATTCGATTTTAATAACACTGCGAATTTACGTTTTTGCCACGAATAACGAACTCAAAACAAAAAGAATCGGAGAAATTGGTTGAAATAATAAAATAAACATCACCTAAGAGAGAGAGAAAAAACTGAAAACAAGTGGCATGACTGCATGAGTCAACAATTAATCACCATGATCATTATCCACAAAAACTCATACCGTATGTACGTGTGGGAATTAAAGATCTCGATATCTATCTCATCATCTATCTCTCCAATTAGGAGGAGGTCTACTAGATAAAAACATCACAAAGATATTATCAAATAGACTATTAGGTCCGAAGCCATAAGCAGAGACCTCCATGTATATAGTGTAAACGTTGCAAGGATGAGCAGAACAATCAACAACGTTGTATAGTCACGGCCGGGGTGCAGATGCTATAACAACAGCCTATTTGTTGTTACGGTAACAACAATGGCAACATAGTAAAATTACAATTAAATAATAAAACATAAATCAAATCATTTATCACACGCGTCTTCCTCCGTCCCCCGCTCTTTCGCCACTCTGTTTCTCCTCCAATGGAAAACCATCCACCATTCTCCGCCTCCTCCCACCTCGAACACCTCCACTCCGTCTATCCCGGAGCATAATCCATCACAACAACCGCAGCGGCGAAAAATCAGGTTCCTCTTCTCTCACTTACTGCTTCGCCGTCGACTAACTGCTAGAAGAGCGCTCCAACTCCAACCTCCTCGACGACTG